AAAGGCCGGGTCTCCAATTTTGGCCGGTGTCGGCGGAGGTGAATAAAGGCCGGCCTCTTATTGTGGCCGGGTGGAATGTGGTAACAAGCAAGTACAGGGGGCGGTTGTGTCATCGTCTCACTTTTGATTTGCCAGTGATAGACCGCGAGGGTAACTTTAACCGTGCAGAGACGAAGAGGAGGCTGTGCCAGAGCGTCGGTACTGACACGCGATCGTTCATGTCGGTTCATTTCCTTTAAAGATTTCTGTCTTTTATTTGCGCCTGATGTGTTTCGCTGCATGCTGTGGAGCGGGCCACATCAGCTTGTCCTCAGGTGACGCACCGATCACTGATGCGCCCGCCAAGCACGGAGCACTCCGCTGTTTTTGCGGTAGATCTGCCTCCTGAGCACGGCCACAGTAACAATCAGGTGTCGCCACATTTAACACGCGATCGTTCATGTCGATTCATTTCCTTTAAAGATTTCTGTCTTTTGTTTGCGCCTGATGTGTTTCGCTGCATTCTGTGGAGCGGGGCACATCAGCTTGTCCTCCGGTGACGCACAGATCACTGATGCGCCCGCCAAGCACGGAGTACTCCGCTGTTTTTGCAGTTGGTAATCTGCCTCCTGAGCACGGCCACAGTAACAATCAGGTGTCGCCACATTTAACACGCGATCGTTCATGTCGGTTCATTTCCTTTGATGTTTTCTGTCTTTTATTTGCGCCTGATGTGTTTGGCTGTGGAGCGGGGCGCATCACCTTGTCATCCGGTGATGCACCGATCACGCGGACACCAAGCAGTGCGCACTCCGCTGTTTTTGCGGTCGGTAGATCTTTTAGAACTGCAGTTCAAAGTTAACTCATAGGTGAATATATTTGAACCCAGGTAGCAGTTTTTCTTTAGGATTGAGAGGAGATGCAGGAAGATAGTAAACAGACAGGACAGAAAAATAGTCAAATAAAAACAAGTTAGTTTTTGTACCTGGTGGTTGCAACAACCAGACACCATTGAAGGTAATCAGAAGTGAGGAACAGAAAATGAAATAATTATTTTAATGTTTAGAGCAGCAGGAACTCCGAGAGGCTGCAGGCACATCAGTGAGTTTGCGGCCGCTGCACAGGGGGAGGGGGGAGAGGGCTGAAGCAGAAACTACCATTGTTAAAAGAAATGTGTTTAACTTTGAAAATGTGGGCGCAATTTTAATTGTCAAAAACTCCAGCGAACCATTAGTTCATTTTGCTCAAATAGAAATAGAGGCATGCCTCTAATACCGGCCCTCCTTCCAATAAAGGCCTGGAGCGTGATGAGTTTCAGTCAAATACAGGCCCGGGCCTGTATTAGAGGATTTACGGTATTTTACTGCTGCTGGTGGATTTTTCATGTGTAAATCGACAGAATTTAAATAACCAGGAAATGGAATAACGTTGCACAAACAAGCTATAACCTATCATGGACTGGTGCAGCACACAATAGTTTTTGCCACAGTTGTACTAGCCATTAGCATATCAATTAGGACAAAAAATGTCATCCAGGGAGCAATCCAGAAGGGTATTTATTTATAACTTTAACCCAGAAACGTCCTTTAAATGACCAAAAACTTTATATATATATATATATATATATATATATATATATATATATATATATATATATATATATATATGGCCCTTGGTACATGCACTTTTTATTTATTTTCTATTTTTTCACAAGTGATGTTTAGCTGAGCAAAAAGCGCAAATATTTCATGTGAGAGGCTTGAGCACTGCTGTATTGTGCCTCGTGTAAATTATGGATCAAGCACACAGTTTGCTCTCGGAGTCTGCACCTATCGCCATCAAGCATCAATAACGGCTCATTTTCAAATGTAACTTGTTACACCAACACTCACCAAGATGTCCTAAAGAGGCTTTTTATTTTTTATTTTGCATTTGAAATGATCTTCTCATCTTGTTTTTTAGGTCTTTGCTGAGACTAAAATATTTTTCTTCCACAAAATTAAGAGCAGATGATCAATAAAACATCAGTCATGTTGCACGAACGCTCTGTAACTTTGTTCAACAGTTTCCATAGTAACAACACCTCCCGTCAGTCAAGAAATGGATAGATTTTAATTATAGCTCGACAAATGTAATAATCGGTTTGGATCAGCATGGTGTAATGCCAAATAACATGATAGTTTTGGGGAAATAAAAAAAAACAGGAAACTGTCGGCTCAGATTGGTGAAATGAGATTGTAAAGTGCAATAAAACCTCTACTGAGACCACCAAAACTGATTTATGCATTCAGAACTTTACATATTGTCTTCACACAATCAGATCTCATCTGCTTGTCAGCGAAGATGCAAATGTAAGATGGAATTATCTGAGTTTGTTCATCACTAACAAGCTCGTCCTACCAGGAAACACTTCCCGCTGCCACGTCTGAAAGTTCTCAGGACCCAGAATAACAATTAACACAAAATCTATGTTTTACTCGTGTGTGTGTGTGTGTGTGTGTGTGTGTGTGTGTGTGTGTGTGTGTGTGTGTGTGTGTGTGTCCCACATGACCGGCCCGTTGATTCTGACCCAGAACACGGAAAGTAAATGGGACTCTTTTCTATCTCTCACGCTCATCTTGTCAGTAAACACCACTGAATCAATAAAGCTGACGTCCTGAAATGATAAGGTAGCTCCAGATAAAGAGTCTGAGGAAAAGAGTTGCTGGCAGAATCCCTGTCTTTGGGAATGTGCAAACAGTTGTACTGGTGGAGGCTTTATGTGTTGAAATAACTTTTGATACGCCAAAGGGCCAACGAACTAGCATCTATGAAGCTCAGATCATTTGACAGATCCACGATTTTTAGGGGTGTCAAACATCTGGATGACTCAGAATAAACCAGGCAGTTGAAAAATCATCTTGTGACAATAATTCAATTTTATGGTAAAAAAACAGGAAATGTGTATTTGCATGTAAATGATTGACTAAAGTAATAATATAATATTATAATACAATATTCTCTGGCTTTGTGTATTTGTATTGTTGTTATTCTGTTTATTGCTTTTTGCTGTTGTTTTATTGGTGCCTGATTTTTTTGTGATGGATGGTTGCTATTATGTTTTATGACTGTCGTGTTAAGCACTTTGGGGTGGCCTGGAGCTGGAAGGTGCTCTATAAATAAAACAATGATGATGATGATGATGATGATGATGGTGATGATGACATGTTGTGGTTCAGCTTGCTTCTCTGATAGAAAAGTGCATTTGCATCTCAGAGCCAGAACTCTTTGCAAAGAAGTAAGTTGAATGAACATGTTCAGATGACCAGAATGAGCTTTTTCACCTCGAACACGATCAGTAATACTTTTTTGAACTGAAAACTCAAAATGTGAGTTTTATCTGAACATTTTCCTTCGAAGCCATGAATAGCATTGGTGTTTTTCAGCTCTTATCAAGGTAAATTCAGTTTATCACAACAGAAGAACTCTTGATAAAGTCACACAGGAACAACTATGACAGAAAAAAAGCCCACACAGCACAACACAACATAATATAAAATAACATAAATATTGGAAGGATTTTTTATTTTCTGGGCAAACAGCAGAATGAGAGCAGATGTAGAAACAAATGGATCATGAGCTATGGCCTTCAAGTCATTTAAAACAAATGGATTGCGTGTTGCTTATTTGAGAGTTTTGCAAAAAAAAACTTTTAAATCATTCTCAACAGTTCAGTTTATTTTCAGTCATCACACTTGATGATGGATGAAATCAGGTACATAATTTTGACACACTTCTGTTAAACCTGCTGGTTGTTTCTAATTCACATCAATAAAATGGAAATAAAAACCCATCAGACCAGATCCTGCGCTGATTATTCCCTAAAGACTTTTAAAACAGACATCATCTTCTAGTCTGAGACAGAAGAAGCCGCCTGCTGAGGAAATCTGAACACCACCTCTACTTAAGTGTTGTTTCTGAGAGTTAAAGCTGCATGGATCATCGCGTGCATCATCAGTAGTTACATGTCTAGATTAAATGTGTGGCTGAAAAGACGGCTGGCACTGGATTACATCAGTGATGATGCAGAGGATGAAGCCTGAGCGACGGTCGGTCGGAGCTGCACTGGGCGTGAGAGAGCTCAGCACAGCCTGCCAGGCAGAGCAGCTACTCAGTATTCTGCTCAGGTCTGCAGGAGAGTCAGAAGCAGGGGAGATATCGCTCAGACTGCTGATTTGCAAAACAAGACAATGAAATAGCTGTAAATAAAAGGTGCTGAGAATATCCCAAAGCATTTCAAATATTTATGCTTTACAACTGACTAAACTGAAAGGGTCACATTAAAAAGATACTCTACAGCACAACTGAGGCTTATTTAGTCGTTATGTGGAGGATAAAAGGGACCACATTGGCACATTTAGCATAGGTGTTGGTGTAGATGCCCAACACAAAAATGATACTATCTCTCTTTATGTTTTCTTTTGTAGCTTTCCCAACAGATTCAGTGTTCTTTTTACTTAAAAATGCTAAATAGTTTGGACTTGCTTTGTTCTTGCACAGAATCAAGGTAGCTGATGTTTGTTCTTTTGAGACATAATTGATTCAGAAGCCCCCAAACATGCAAACAAAAACACAAAGACAAAATACAGACTCATAACCATGGAGACAATCATATTCAATGGTCTTTACAGACTGTGGCCAAGGGAGATAAAAGGTGGAAAGGAACAGCAATACATCTTTTTGAGATCCCTGTTAGCTGTAGGTCAAAGGTCAACATTTTTCTGTACATTTTAAATTAAACATCAGCATCTGCAGAGCAGAATATTTAAAGTGATTAAATCTACAGATTATTTGTGAAGTCAGAAAACTAAATTTTTCATTTTTTAAACACAAAAGTTTTAAAACAATCAACAACTTGATGATAATTTTCTCTCTGGTAAAAATGGGTTTAATAATTAAAAATTCAGCAAAAGAAGCAAAATATTTTGCCCAGTTTTGTTCTTTTTGGTGGAAAGTAATTCATTAATCTTTCTGTGTTCAAGGCTGTCTTGATTGCTGCATTAAATGCCTGGGCGGGATCCCGTATCCTTCCCTCATCGCCACCATCTTGCTGTATGCGGGCGTAGCTCTGTTCTGTGGCTGTGGACATGAAGCTCTGTCAGGGACCGTCACCATCCTCCAGAACTACTTTGAAGTAGTGAGGAGTCCTGTGGATGCACTGGATGTCTTCACCATGTGTGTAAAAAAATATCAGATGATTAAAGCTGGATAATTGTAAATTTACATGCTTGTTTGTGTGTGTGTGTGTGTGTGTGTGTGTGTGTGTGTGTGTGTGTGTGTGTGTGTGTGTGTGTATATATATATGTGTAAACCCAAAAATTGCCTCTCATTCTGCAGGATTGATATCATCAAGTATGTGATCTACGGCATTGCTTCGGCGTTCTTTGTTTATGGCATCCTGCTGATGGTGGAGGGATTCTTCACCAGTGGAGCCATTAAAGACCTGTATGGAGACTTCAAAATCACCACCTGTGGACGCTGCGTCAGCGCCTGGGTACAACTGCTGTTTTACTCCATATTAATTTAAAATAATTAAGTTTAAATGGAACATATTCTAAACAACTCATATTTAATCATCCTTTTGTGCTGCGATGTGGGTCTAATACCTCAATAAACACTCCGAAGTAAATAAATAAATAAAGAAAGAATAAAAAAATCACCCATCGGCTTTGAGTGTTTGGTTTTAGGAATATCGTGCTTAAAGCAAGCCTTTTGAAAAAGGTCCCAGAATAGAATAGAACCACTTCCCGAATGCAAAAGATTGCTGCTACTGGTGGCTCTACTCTGAGCCCCTCCCAGATATTCGAGCTTCTTAGGATATAGCAGCCTAAGCGGGGGAGATGTGGGTATGGCCAGCTCCAGTTTGTTTTCCTAAAGTGACAGCCCTGAAACGGCTCATTCTGGAAGGTGTTGAAACTGACAAGAATAAAACTATATGAGAGGATGTTTGTGCAAAACAACTTCATGTAGCAACCATGAACTTAAGAATATAAGCCATGACATGCTCTCTGTGTAGTTTCTGCTTATGCGTTAATGCTTCAGGAATCACTTGGCTTTTGCAGACTTTTGTCATCAGGTCTTTTTAAAGTATTCCCTTAAAGGTTGTAAACATTTCTGTAGTTTCCACATTCTGTCAATTGCTGCTGATGTCATTCTTCAACATACTTAATTTAGCTGAAAAAAACAATAACATATAATTACTTTTTGAAAATATGCATTACAAACATGACTGAATTGTACAAGTAGTGGCTGAAAATCTTTATATTTTTGTAGAAAAAATGCATTTCTAGTTTTGACACCACTTATACTCAGTGACCCGACATGATTTCAATAAAAAGAGAAAACATCATGGCCAACAAAAACTTGCCCTGAAGATGCTGTTAAATTGATTAAAAGCAGGAATCTCTGTTGCATCAGATATGTGTGAGTCAATCTCTGTAAAGCTTAATAACATAAAGCTAGATGACCGGAATTTAACAATAACTTGCTCACTGACTTACACACTTCAGAGAATGCAACAAGAAACTCAAAATCTGGGCAAAAAACAAAAAATATATATTCTTCATGTTCTGATGTTTGATTTGGACACAATATTTATGTTGAGTTTAAGGTAAATGTACAAAAAACAATTAAAATACTTTGTTTGCCTACCATGACAGTATGGAAAGTTGCTTTTTTAAGCACAGCGCTTTACAAAGCCTTCAGCAGGCCGTCAGATCCGTAAAACACACTCTGACAGAAACAAGCTGGCAGGTGGGGAGGTTTAGAAGAGATGTGACCCAAAGGATCACACTCACAGTTCCTGACCTATCGTCCTCACTTTCTCTTTCAGTTCATCATGCTGACTTACATCTTCATGCTGGCTTGGCTCGGAGTGACGGCTTTTACCTCCATTCCCGTCTTTATATATTTCAACATCTGGAACATTTGCCAAAATTCTACTTTTTTGGAGGGGGCCACACTCTGCCTGGACCCACGTCAGTATGGTGAGGAATAATATTCTATATTTCCTTGTCCTCTAGCTTTAGCACTCTTTAAATAACCGTGTGACTCCTGAAGTCCTCTCAAGGGTTGGTTGGACCACCTGAACTGCCGCAGCTTTCCCAACTCACAGAGCAAGAGATCTAAACATTTTTCCACAATTGCACTTGAGGCTTTTAAATGCAACACAGAGGGATGTAATAACAGTAAAGATTTCTAAACATGGTTTAAGGCATGGGACATTGAAAGAGGTCTACGAAATGTAAAAAAATCAAACTGTGTTGCAGTGGTGGCTGGTGAGAAGAATTCTTGGGGCTTTATGTGAAATATTTCCCTTCTTAGTCTATTATATGTCTTCTAATGAACAGCTGGAAAAAGACCTTAACTCCAGAACAGTCATTAGTTTCCCTTCTCCAAATAATCAGTTTTACAGATTAAGTTCATTATCACATTTACAGATTAATTAGCCTATAATAATAAAACTCAAATAAATACACAGACCGACTGTAAACACATTTAAGAACACCCGAATACCATAATTTCCATTTTTATCCGTATTGACATTTTATTTTTTTCTCCATAGTTTGTTTTCCAGTTTTTTCTGTCACAATTGGTCAATGTGTGCAACTCAAAGCGTAATATTCAGTGCCACCAGTAGGTGGCAGTAAGACCACACATAAATTGAATTAGAGTTCTTGTTTTAAACATTACATTCATATAAAATGTGAACAAATAATCACAACTTGCTACAAAAACTACAGGTTTGATTTCTCAAACGATGTGTAAGTAATTTAGATCACTTGTAGACTCTCTCTCTCTCTCTCTCTCTGTCTCTCTCTCTCTCTCTCTCTCTCTCTCTGTCTCTCTCTCTCTCTCTCTCTCTCTCTCTCTCTCTCTCTCTGTCTGTCTCTCTCTCTCTGTCTGTCTCTCTCTCTCTCTGTCTCTCTCTCTCTCTGTCTCTCTCTCTCTCTCTGTCTCTGTCTCTGTCTCTCTCTTTGTCTCTCTCTCTCTCTCTCTCTCTCTCTCTCTCTCTCTCTCTCTCTCTCTCTCTCTCTCTCTCTCTCTCTCTCTCTCTCTCTACATACTTACTATAGCCCCATTCCCACCTGTACCGGGTCGGCCCGGGCCGGGTAGCGTAGGTTGTTTACATATCTGGGTGGCCTGGAATTTTCCCGGGCCAACCAAGGCTCATTCTCGGCCCTCTTCCCGAGGGGTACTGCTTCAGGCCGACCAGGGCCAACACACCCACTGCTGACAAGAAATTCACACCTTCCATTAGAGCAAGCCTCTGATTGGTGGGTAGAATCAGCCCACATGGGCTTAAGACAAGGATGTGTGGAATCAACCGGGCCAGGCTGGGGCCGACTGGGGCTACCCGGCCCGGGCCGACCCGGTACAGATGGGAATGGGGCTTATGTGTTGCTTAATTTGTATGTAAGCATATGTACATACAAATTTTGTATAGTATTTTATTCTTTCTTCCTCCACATAAGGGATGGCAGCGCCGTGTGGACGAGCTGCCACTGCTGTGTTGTCTTAAACGATGGGAATAATTCAGTGTAACTCTTTTTGATTTTGTTTATAAAGCATCTGCCGAGCAGAGGGACATTTCAAGGTGCTTTAAAGGTCAAAAACAAACAGTTTAGCAAACAGGCAGGGAAAGTATGCAAGGCATTAACGGCAAAAAAAACAAACAAACAAAAAAAACAACTCATTAAAGCAGTTTGTGGGTAAGAACAAAATGAGTTCAAACCAAACATACCCAAGAATAAAAATAAAATAGTAAAATGTTTTCATAGAAGTTTGTAACTGAACACAAAATCATAAATACGTTTAGATTAAGATTGAATTTAAACTTTTTTGGGTTCCTTGACAGAGTTTTTTTTTCTAATCAGATGAAGGATTGGATCACATTCCTGAAATAGCATGTTGCTATGAAACAATCCAGTTCAAGCCTGTAATGATAGTTCTGGAAAGTAGAAACCTGGAACCTCCTCCTTTGTTTAACATTTTTATTTTTTCATTTGACAAAGATTTTTTACTCTTCTCTTGACTATCAATCTTCGCTGTCCAAAATATGGATATGTCTGTTATCAAAAGGCCCTCCCACCTTACCACTCCTCATGATGGAGAATCGGGTGTTTGATCTGTAAACAAGCTCAGATGAATGAAGCTCTAACTCCAGGCTTATTACTCATTTTTTTATTGATACTGAAATAACTTGCATTAAAAGAAAGACATAGTCAAGGAAGGAAAAAATACCTGTCTTGTTCTTATTGAATCCACTAGAAAACAGAGTATAAAAGAAGTCAGAGTATATTCCATAAGCCCTGGAGCAATTTTCAAAAGTCAAGGGCCTGAAAAGTAGAAGCCCTGAGTCAGTATTTACTCTGCGGTAAGTCTGCACTCTGAAACCAAAGAAGAAAAATACCACTAAGCCAAAAATTAAGGTCCATCAAATCAATCCTTTGTGTTGGTTCTTTGTTTTCATTAATCAGACCATCACTTGCCTGGATGCAGACCTGGTATAAATAACAGTACTTAATGCATATAACCCTGCTACCACATTTCTCTCCATTTTATTTCAGGTGTGGTGCCAATTGCTGAAGCCAAAACTGTCTGTACTGGATCAGAAAAATTCTTCAACATGTGTGAATCCAATGAGGTATAGGAAAAGTACTACACTTCTACGTTCTTTTATACCAGGGGCTTTCAATTCTGGGCCTGGCGCTCCGGTATCCAGCATGTTTTTAGTTTTAACTCTGTTTCAACACACCTGACTTCAATCAGCAGGTGATTAACATGCTTCTGCAGAACCTGATGAGCTGCTGCACAGGTGGATCAAGTGTGCTGAATCAGAGAAACCAGTAAAACATGCTGGATATAATAATAATAATAATAATAATAATAATAATAATAATAATAATGCATAGAACTTATATAGCGCTTTTCAAGACACCCAAAGACGCTTTCACACACTCTCACATTCACACACTGCTAGTGATGGTAAGCTACTTGTAGCCACAGCCGCCCTGGGGAGGTCTGACGGAGGCGAGGCTGCCATTTGGCGCCGTCGGCCCCTCTGACCACCACTAACACAGGCAAGTTGGGTGAAGTGTCTTGCCCAAGGACACAACAGCAGGATACCCCTGGCGGGAGCTGGAATCACACCCATGACCCTCCGAATCATGAGGCAACCCGCTCTACCACCTGAGCTACTGCTGGATATCAGACCTCCAGGACCAGAACTGAATACCCATGTTCTATACTTACTACATTTTGAATGTTTAGTAAAGAAATATTGATGGCTTTCTAATGTATGGTTGAATAATTAAGACATGCCTTGCACACAAATACAATATAGATCAATTCACAGTTTATATGAGATAAGCATGTGTGGGTGTAGCTTAGGTCAAGTTACAAAAAATGATAGATGCAGTAAATTATTATCTTTTTACTCATCCCCGTGTGGGATTGTAAATACACTCTAAGAAATGAAATTTTTAATTTACTTAACCATGTCAACTGGTTCCAATAAACCTAGTTGCTTAAATGTGAAGAGTAATACACATTTACTTGGTTTAAGCGCCTTGTGAGGCGCCATATAAAAGATTGTTTCTTCTCTTCTTTTTCTTTAGTGGAATCAGCTGACATTACTAAGTCAGCTCTGCAGCTATTGCAGGTCGGGGGGATTTATAGTAACGTAAACCTGAAAATTACTTGAACAAAAAATAAATCCATGTGATGATGGATTGTGACAAAATGTCACAAAGTGAAATTTAGTCCCAACGTGATAAATGTTTGGCAATTGTTACATAACACATGCACAACTTAGTTTCTTTTAATTCCCAGATGTATTTCTCAGAGGGCACCAACTAGAGATGGAAAAAGGTATTGCACCTTAAGCCCATAATTCTGTGATTAAGGCTGGATGAACCGCTCCATTGTAGCCTCAGCAGGTCTACCGTTGGCCCGAGCAGTTTGGTGTTTGCCAGTCACGGCGCTCTATGTTTGGTAGGCGGACTTCACGCTAGGAGAAGAAGACGATCTTTTATATAGCGCCTCTCAAGATAAAAATCACGAGGCGCTTCACAAAGCTAGAGTTGTGACAGAGTAACCCCGTTTTCACACTGAAAGCATCAGCGGCGTGGAACGACAGCAGAATGTCACTGCTTCAAATAGAATCTATTATAGACAATGGACCGTTTCAAACCAGCAGCGACGCAGCGAATGGTGGATTGCATAAACAAACCATAACCAGAAGTCTTGAGGGATCTTGTAATCTTGCGAGTCCAGCAAAGATCACAGTGAGGAAGCCGTGCCGCTGCCGAGACTCTCCCGGTGTGAAAAAGACTGCTTTGAAGTTCACTAGTAAACCGTTCTGCTGCCGATGCCTCCTGTGTGAAACCAAGGTTAAACTGCAGAGATGGCATGTGCATTGGGAACGGCGCTTATTTAAAGCAGCTTTGACATCTACTTTAGACCAAGGTAGACTTGGGCTTTTCCTTGAGACAAGCAGATAGAGGTACTTAAGTCCTTTATGTAGGAAAGTATGTATAGATGTATTTGTTTCTGCTAATGACGGACTGCCCAGTTGACTGATTTCTGTAGTGATGAATAAGTCATGTTTGCTGCTCTGACTGGTCCCAGCGCTGTCCACTTGCATGCAGAGACAGTATGAAAGACATTAGATTCCACCCTAGGACTGAGCTCTGTCTTTGGGTCGTGGCTAGACAATATTTGGGCACATATTGGATGCGTTGCCAGCCTAACAAAATTCCTGAAAGAGGGAAAACACGGAATTGTTTGCTTTAACTGAATGCATTTAGTGACAGACTGAAATCATCACATCAATTTTTTTCTGAAAATTTTCCCAGATATTCAGTGAGTCAGAGTTTGCTCACGGAGGGGTTTAATGTTCACATTTTACATCCTGCTAAACATTTTTCTGTAACAAGATTTCCAGGGAGCCCTGTGAAAACGCTGTGTTATTGATTTGTTTGGCACAGCTGGACATGACGTTCCACCTGTTCATCTGCGCCCTCGCTGGAGCAGGAGCTGCTGTTATTGCTATGGTGAGCCACCAGAAACACACCAAACACAAAACACCACTCAAGGTCCATTTCAAAACATTACAAATGAAAACCTTCACTAGCAGAATCCATGTAATTAGCGTTGGTTAATGGCATGTAACTGAAATGCGTGTTGCTGTGAAACTTGACATTTTTTCATTGTAGCTGCTTGTGTTTGTGGGAGAAAAGCTGTAGATAGGAGAGAAGGCATTTTGGTGCAGTGAAAGAGACAGGGTTTGTCTCCCTCCCTCTTTCGGAGGCGGCGGGCATGTCAGGCGGTTGTCATGGAAACAGGAAGAAGAAAGGCTTAGAGATTGTTGCAAATCACTCAGTAATTTGTGAGGGGCCATTTTCTGAGAAAGAGAAAGTGGTTGCTTGTCAGGAATGATGGTGCAACAAACTGTAGCAAGACTTTTGTTGTTTTGTGTCTTTCTTTTATATTTGTTTATCTCCTCTGTCTGGATATTTACAGAGAAAAGATGCTGTGGTGCATCCTAGAAAGTTGTTAAAGCTTTAAACAAACAAACAAAAAAACACCTCTGAAAGCACGACAAATTAAATCCGATAAGGTGAGGTGGAGTTAAGAGAAAAACAAAATAAGGTTGAGATTATTAGTGTTTGAATCTCATTTGTATCTCAAGTGTACATTAAAAATAAAAAGAGCGGCGTCGCAATGAAACTACAATCCCTTGAGAAAATGAGAATCGTGTTACAACCTCAGTTATTAGAGCACGATACATTCATTATAATTTTAGATACCATGGCAATGTCACACTCCAAAACCATGTTTGACTTTATGCTGCCACCTGGTGGACTCCTGGAATTGTCCCTTAAAAGACCTACAGGGTTAAATATAAAGCTGGTAAATCAGTGTTAGTCAACTTTTTTATTGTATTGCATTCACCCTACAGATCCACTACTTGATGGTGCTTTCTGCCAACTGGGCCTACGTGAAGGACGCTTGCCGAATGCAGAAGTATGAAGATATCAAGTCGAAGGAGGAGCAGGAGCTCCATGACATCCACTCCACTCGCTCCAAGGAGCGTCTGAATGCCTACACATAAAGACCAGGCCTGGCCCTGCCACTCCGGCCTCTCTTCCTCTGTCTCTCCTCTCGCTTTCTATCGGTCTCTCTCTCTCTTTCTCTCTCTCTCTCTCTCTCTCTCTCTACTGTACCCTCCTGAGGGGGGGCAGAGATGGCGCCTAGGGCCCTCGACACTGCTGATGTAACTGGTGCATCATATGAAAACTTGGTCTGCGGGTGCATCACACAAAGCTCCTTACTCACAAGCAGCATTTCAAATGAAAAAAGCCCCTTTACCTCTCTCATGAATGGTTTTACAATTATCGTTATGGCAGTTGTATCATTCTTAAATACGAGTTGTTTAGTGCTGATAGTAGTTTTAGTGTAGTTTGTAGAATTAAAGGTAGCAGTTATATTTCAGCTTTTTTAATTTTCTGAAAAATTTGTGTATAATTCTTGTCTTTTTATTTGATACTGTCATCTTTTGTTTTTTGCATTCGTAATTTATTTCTTTGCTGATTTCTGAGGGGGCAACAGGGGCTTTAAAGGGTTTTTAAGCACATTTATCATGTAGTGTGTCCGGAGGTGTCCTGCTCGAGAGCTGTGTGTGCTGTATGTGAACGAGTGGATTAGTTAAAAGATGTTTTAAATCTCACAACTATGAAGAATTGTAATCCTATGCCAGTATTCCCAGGGATTAAGACCACTTTCACATGAAAATTACTCATTTCTGCCTTTCTATTTGAAGTTACGCGATGGAGAGATGACTAAATAATTAATTGTACATTCTTGGAAAACAAGTAATTGCTAGACATAGCTAGCCTGTTAAACAGGGATTATTGAGTTATAATGGATTTCAAAGAAACCGTCGAAGCAACTGGAGTAAAAGTTGATAAACTTACCATATAAAGGAATTTTACATTGATTCTATTGTCTTTGAATCACGAGGCACGGATGCACATGTTTGCATAAACAAACTATAATTTCTGAAAAGTGGAACTCTATAAAAACTAAACTCCTGTGTATGCAGGACTCTGCACTGTATCTATTTATCAAAGCATACCTTTATGTTTTGCACTGATGTTTGAAATCATGAGATCATAATGGAAAAAAAAATGGGTCCAATTTGCATCTAATCATCTCAAGTGAAAAGAAAGCCTGAAAATAACATGAAAAAACAAAGTTGTGTTGGCACTCTTTGGTGGAATTATGATAATCGTGTGTGCTGCAGTATTTTTTAGTCCATGACAATGACTTTATTGCCTAAACATCTGTATGCCATATGAGGTGGCCTGTCACTGCATTGCCTGGTGTTTTTCTTTCCTATTTTTCTTGTCATCCACTAGTTCTCAAACCTAGTTTCATGCACTTATTTGACCTTTTTCTGTGCTCTCTCTCTTGATGTAAGCGCATTGGTGTTCAACTGAAAGTTGGATAACTGTACTGTTAGTAAGGACTGTGAATTTAGATGTTTTTTGTGGCATGGACATTCATCCGTATAGTCTTATTGACAGAAAAATGACTTTATTTCACTTCTTTATTTTTGCTACTTTGACTTGTCATGCTGGAGCAGACCTTTGTTTCTATGTGCAGTACTAAAATTCCCACGCTTTCTGCTACTGATATTAGAGACTGTAGTCCTTGAGTTGTGTCTATTTAGTTTGTGATGAGCTTTCAACCATGTCTTGAAGCTGGTTCTTGTACCAACATGATTTACTCTGTAATGATAAAAAAAATGCTCTCAGTTTCTTCCTTGTCTTTTGTACTTTCACTATGGATGCTTAATAGCAGGCTTTAAATCGAATCTGTTTTGTACATTCATGTGCCAACAGCTTGAAGTGGCTTATTTGAACTGTATGATCAAATTTGCTTGCATAAATAAAATTCACTTGTGTACTTGTTAATAAATGCGGCAGGCCTCTTGTGTTGTTTAATTAACATGTGGACCTTGAATCAAAAAGCGATGAGATCTCTGAAATAAGAATGGTAAAATATCTAGTCCACCATTATAATGTTATTTTTATTACAAAGACGAAATTACTGTAAGCAGAAAACTCATCACGTCACACAGATGGGACCACTAGATGTCTCCCTCCTCTTTTATTAGTCTTTCAGAATAAAAGCTGTTGTTAACTGGAGAGAAGACAATAAACAAAAGAGACAGAAAGACAACACACCATAGAAATCCTTTAACTATTCTGAAGTGTTACGTGTAGCAACAGAATTATTCAGCAGGTTCAGTTGCCATTGGGTATACAAGGTAATGCAGCATCTAAATTGTAACATAAAAGTTTTTTTTTCAAAGCTAATGGGAGATTCTCAGTAATTATGTTAAATTTCTGTCAAAATGTAAATTAAATGTTGATAATAGATTTAGTTTTCATCCCAACTGGTCCCACATGACACAGCCTTTATGACGTACCACACAATTCTTATTGGTCCATCTTACTGGGCTGCTCTGGAATCAGAGGGCCTAACTGGAGGAAAACAATACCTCATCCGGCAAGACCCCAAGGCATTCCGGGCGAGATTGGAGATGCATTACGTATCCTGGGTAAAACCGTGGGCTTCCTGCCAGCAGGACATGCCTGAAACACTACCCCAAGAAGTCGTCCAGGCGGCATCCTGATAAGATACCCAAGCCACCTCAGCTGGCTCCTCTTATTGAGGAGGAGCAGTGGCTCTACTCAAAGTCCCTCCCGAATGTCCCCCTCACCCATCTCTACAGCTTAGCCTGGCCACCCTCCAGAGGAAACTAATTTTGGCCGCTTGTACCCGCAATCTTCTCTTTTGGTCATTAACCAAAGCTCATGTCCGTGAGGGTTGGTATGTAGATCGACCAGTAAATTGAGAGTCTTGCCTTCTGGCTCAGCTCCTTCTTCAATATGACAGACTGGATCAGCGTCCGATTCACTGCATATGCTATTGCAATCCACCTATCAATCCCCCGCTCTGAAGAACAAGACCCTTGATACGTCTCCACTTGAAGCAGAACCTCCTTCCTTACCCAGAGTTGGAAAGCCACCCTTTTCCATTTGATAACAATGGCCTAGGATTAGGAGATGCTGTTCCTCCTCCCAGCTGCTCTACACTCGACCGCAAACCCATCCAGCAAGAGTTGAAGGTCAGAGCTTGATGAAGCTAGGAGGACCACATCATCCGCAAACAGCAGAGACAGGATCCTTTATCCATGTCCATCCTAGAGCTCCTCTCTAACCTTCATGCTTATTTAGAGCAGCTGATTTTTAAAGTTAGCAGAGTTCATCCTTGGTAGTGGGTTCACTCACTCATTTAACCCTTCACCACTGAAATCAGTTTGTTCATTCCAATCCTCCTAAATAATCCTCCAATCATCCAACTGGAATCCTTAAGGGTCCCGTAACGTCCGTCCTGTCAGAATAGGCCTTGGGAGCCCAGGTGTTACTAGAACTAATAGTGTCTCCTCACCAGCGTGAGCCTCCAAACTGTGAAGGTTGGTCTCCAAACATGAACTTTAAATTCATGCATTTATCTCCTCTTGTAACACTTTAACATGTTTTAAAAGGCTTGTATCATGATAAGTTACACCTCCCAGACCAAAGATAAGATAAAACATTATCATAAACACTGCAGAGACATCATTATTTATGAAATATAAGTTATTCTCCTGAGCCATTATTTCAGCCAAGATATAGGATGCATGGATTTGATGAAACCATGCTGTCTCATGCAGTCCTATATGTGTAACACACACACACACACACACACACACACACACACACACACACACACACACACACACACACACAGCAGCATGTTAGAATCTTTTGAATGACTAATTTAACTACACTGAACTGCTTTAGTAATAATTTAATCTCTTATTCTGGAGTAAAATAAAGAAACAAGATAAATCATCACATAGCTGTGGCATCAAGAAGCAACTTCTGAGTTCAAACACAGGGATGGAGCACAATGTTTACACCTGAACAGTATCAGGATGTTTTAAATCACAGAGAACGGCAGGTCTTCTGTTTTATGAGCAAAGCGCTGATAATCTGCTTGTTATGAGCGCTAAACAGTATTTTGCCGCTTCCGTGTAGAGCGTAAACACATTTCAAACACGGAACCGAGTCTGGCTACGGAACCGAGCAGAATTCTGATGACGTCACACCGGTGCGTGAAGGTGCACGTTCCAACCATTGACATAAATATATGGACAATGGGTTTCCATAGACTCCAATAACAAGTTTTTGAGCTAAAATGGGAGGTGGCCACCACCGCCATTTTGACCATGTCACAGGTTCCGTCAAGACCAGACAATTCCATAAAAGGGAAGAGAGGAGGAGCTGAGGGTGGGGCTGTAAGGCTGGGATCGACTGACGACACCCGGTCGAACTAGCTACAAGCTAACCTGAAGCTAACCCAAAGCTAATGCGGAGGTGGGAGCTAAGCTAATGGAGGTAGCAACCTAGCTACAACCGGAGTTAACTGTGCACAACACCAGAGTTTCTGAGTCAGAGATACGCCAGGCTGACCGCTGGGTAAAACCGGGTGGAACACAGAGGTCTCCCGAGAGCTCCACAAGCCGGCAGCCGCACAGCAGACAAGCGCCGCTGCGATCTGAGATGCGCAGAGCTGCCGCTGGGGAGAACCGGGTGGAATGGTTTCCATCCCAGAGCTCCACAAGCCATCAGCCCGCTCAGCACACAGAAGCCACGATCAGACAGACATGCGCCGAGCTGCGGGGAGAAGTGGCGTATTTTGGCGGTTCTGGCTTGCCATAAGAACCAGCCGTCAGCCCGCGCAGCTAACAGAAGCCGCGACAGATGCGCCGAGCTGCTGGGAGAACCAGCCGTCAGCCCGTGCGCAGCAAACAGAAGCCGCGATCAAACAGAGATGGACCGGGCTGCAGGGAGGGGATAAGGGTGGAAAACATCGGTCTCCCGAGAGCTCCACAAGCCAATAGTCGGAACCCAGCTCCACCAACATGTTATATTTCAACCCATTTTCTAAAGTACAGCATTATGTTAAATGCACTGGGTTTTACCCTATTACATTTAAATTTCATGGTTAAACAGTACATGTTAAAATCTAAGCTCAGCTCAGCAGTGACCTAAAATACATAAATATAATTTTACTTACCGAAAAAAATGAAGTGGAGACTCCTTGGACGATTTATTAGTGCAATTAATGCCACAGCAAGTCATTTTGTCCAACAATTGCACAAAAAATATCCAAAAAAGAATACACAAACACAGAGACTCAAAATCCCAGAACTGTTTCCAGGCGAGGCCGAGGCTCTACTGAGGCCTTTCCACGGAGCTAGCTCTGTGGTCACGTGGGTCTGATGCTCATTAATTATACAGAATTTTAGGCTTTTAATACACTTAAACAGAAGAGTGAGAAAACAATTCACCCCCTCAGAGTTGTCATGAGTGTAAACTAGATAATTTAAACAAAAAACATGTTTTGGTACCAGCCTGTAAACATGTTTATTTCTGCTGTGAAATTGGTATTTTTAACATGGGAGTCAATGAGGATTTGCTCGTTTCTGACACCAGCCCCCAGTGGATGAGGGTGGAACTGCAGTTTATTTCACTTCCGGGTTTGACTCAATTTCAGAGCTCCATTGTGGGGGCCTCGTTCCAACCCATGAGAAGAGGGAGAGAGGAGGTAAACAGCGAGTGGATCATAGGAACTTAACTGATGTTTCTGACCAGAAGTTTACACCCACACCCCCCACGGTTTAGACGCGGTGCTCATGCAGGAGTCTCTTTCTGTTCCGACGCTGCTACTCGTAATGTTTTTTTTTTAATTTATTAAGCCTATAATTTATTAGTACTCAGTAACGGATATGATTTAAAATGTAGCAAATTACAATTGTTTTAAAAAAAAACTTACTCAAGTAAAAGTAAAAGTACAGATTTTTAAAATGACTTAAAAAGTATAAATACACAACAAAAAGCTACTCAATTATAGTAACGTGAGTAAATGTAACTCGTTACTTTCCACCTCTGCTGCTAACACAGAAATGGGGACAGAGTATCAATCTGTAAGCCCTATAAAACGTCTGAAATGGTCCGACGTAATAGCTGTCTCGTTATAACCAGACTGCAAAGTGTGCAGGTTTAACTTTTACTTCAGAGGAAAGATCACTGTAGGGAGCCTAAGTCTCCTCCCTTTCCGGTTGGCTCTTGAGTCCCCAGAAGAACGAAAAAATGAATGCAAGTCAGTGGGGCTAACGGGGGGTCAGACTGCTTCTCACACCAAACTCTCTGTCAGGAATCTTGGTGTGACCTTTGACCCAGCTCTCACCCTGGATTCTCGTGTCAGTTCTCTTGTTCGCTCTTCCTTCTTCCATCTCAGGAACATTGCTGAGCTGAGTCCCATTCTGTCCCGCTCTGAACTTGAGACAGTTATCCACACCTTCATCTCCTCACACTTAGACTACTGTAACTCTCTTTTCACGTGTCTGAGCAGAACCTCCCTGAACCGTCTACAGGTGGTTCAGAATGCCTGTGCTCGGCTTCTGACCAAGTCCTCCAAACACACCCACATCACCCCGCTTCACCTCCAGCTTCACTGGCTGCCAGTCAACTTCAGGGTTCATTTCAAGATCCTGGTTCTGGTCTATAGGGCCTTACATGGACAAGCACCATCATTGGTGATCTTCTCAGTCCCTACACCCCCAGCAGGTCCCTGAGGTCCAGTGATCAAAGCCTACTGGTTGTGCAGCGCACCAGGCTAAAGACCAAAGGTGACACATCATTTGCTGCTGTGGCCCCCAGACTCTGGAACTCTCTCCCCCTGAGCCTGAGATCAGTGGACTCAGTGGTCTCCTTCAAAAAGCAGCTGAAGACTCACTTGTTCAAGCTGGCTTTTGACTTAAAAGAGGCTAAGAGACTGAATCCCCGCCAATCTCGATGGTCACTGTTTTTCTCTCGATTTAATTTTATCATTTCTTACAGACCCAGTTCGAAAAACGTCAAACCTGACGCTCTCTCTCGACAGTATGCCTCAGACAGAGAGGTGGAATCACCCACCATCTTACCTGCCTCCTGCACAGTCGGCTCCATAACTTGGGATATAACCAACAAGGTCCTGGAAGCCCAGCAGCAGGAACCCGATCCAGGTACCGGTCCCCCTAATAAGGTCTATGTCCCTACTAGTACCCATGGTGCTCTTATACACTGGGCCCACACCGCCAGGTTTTCCATTCACCCATGTCTTGGCAGGACTATTAGTCTCATCAGGAGGACATTCTGGTGGCCCTCCATGTACCGTGATGTGAAGGAGTACATCAGTGCCTGTCAGGTATGTGCCAGATTCAAAGCCAGTAATCAGTCTCCTCAGGGTCTCCTCCAGCCTCTGCCTGTTCCCCATCGTCCATGGTCACATTTTGCTCTGGACTTTGTAACTGGTCTCCCCATGTCTAAGGGGTTCTCTGTCATTCTCACTATTGTCAACCGTTTTTCTATAGCATGTCATCTTGTTCCTCTTAAATCCCTTCCATCATTCACCGAGACAGCCAACCTACTCATTACACATCTCTTCCGGCTTCATGGACTGCCCAGCGAGATCCTGTCTGACCGTGGCCCCCAGTTCATTTCTTGCATATAGATTGACTTCGCCAATCACCTGGGAGCTAAGGTTTGTCTCACTTCCGGCTTCCATACACAGACTAATGGACAGGTGAAACACATTAACCAAGAACTGGAGGCTATGCTGCGTTGCATCTGCACTTCCAATCCTGCCGGATGGAGTTCACAGCTGCCATGGGTGGAATATGCGCACAATTCCCACACCTCATCATCCACAGGTCAGTCTCCATTTGAAGTCTCGCTAGGATACCAACCCCCTCTGTTTCCCTCCGACTCTGCTTCCTCCACCTCAGTTCCTCAGTTTTTGCGCCAGGCCCGCCGCACATGGTCTCTGACCCGAGCAGTGCTCCAACGCACTGCTGAGCTCAACCGCCGGATTGCAGACCGTCACAGACGGCCGGCACCCACCTACACTCGAGATCAGATAGTCTGGCTCTCCTCCCGGGACATCAGGGTCCGTGGGTCCAACAGGAAGTCCTCTCCTCGCTTCCTTGGACCTTTAAATGTGGCTGAGGTCCTGGGTCCTGTCTCTGTCCGGTTGGAACTGCCTCCATCCATGAAGGTACATCCAGTTTTCCATGTCTCCCTCCTCAAGGCGGTGGTGTCCAGTCCTCTGTGCCCCCCTGATGCTCCGCCTCCACCTGTCCGCCTCGCTGACAGGGGTCTCGGCTACCGGGTGCATCGCATCCTGGATGTTCGGCCGGCAGTTCCTGGTGGACTGGGAGGGGTACGGTCCCGAGCACCGGCAGTGGATTCCTGGATCTTAGATAGAGGATGCCTCCCTAATCGAGGACTTCAAGGCCTCCCTTGATTCATCCTCCTCCGCCTCCTCCTCCTCTGCTAGGCCGCCAGGTGGAGTCCCTTGGGGGGGGCACTGTCACGGTTTGCCTCCACCTACTGGTCAGGTGTGTCAGCTCTGTGTTTGCAGGTGGGCGTGGCATCCGTCACAGCTGTTGGGAGTTTCCACTAATCGGAGGTTCAGAGGATTTAAGGAGTGGTGTGACTCAACCCCAGTGCCGGTTGATACTCTCATATGAATAGCATCTAGCCTAGAATCTGTCTTTGGTTCCTGTGATCCTGGTCTAATGATTTTTGTGTATCCTGTCCTAGTATCCTGTTCTGCACCACCTACCTTGCCTGGAGTTGTCTCACGTCCCACCATTCAAGGATCCTCTGGCCTCCTTTCTCCACACCTGCCTGCCTGCCCACGCTCAGAACCACCTCACCCATTCCAGCCTCTCCCAGTTCGCCTCCGCTCAAATCCTGGCTGTGGACCGTAAGAACTTTCAGATACGGATTCATATTCTCCTGGTTCTCTGGCTCTGGCCTCGCTCACCTTTTTTTTGTCTTCGTAGATTCTGGTTCCATCCTGTTCCTGTTTTCAGAAGCAGCGCCTTTAGTTCTAAATTTTTTCCTTTTCTCCTTTAAAATAAAACATTTGTATTTTTACTTACCTCTTCTCATGTGATTCTTCATGTCCTGGGTGAAGTACATTACCCACAACATGACAGAATCAACCGGCCAAACGAACACCCTCACTGAAGAATCACTCCCCGCAGCTCTAGCAAACACCTTATCCCAGCATGACGGTTCCATCCGTTCAGCCCTTGATCAGTTGTCAGTTATTAATCAATGTTTATTCCAGCTTTACACCGTCATACGACAGGTAAGCAAGAGACTTACACCGCCTCCTGCCGCTACTTCTGTAGCTTCGCCTCCAGCTTCGCTTCCGGTTCAGCAACATGGGGTCAGTTTCCGGGTTACTGAATCACCTCAACCAGAAACGTTCTCCGGCGAACCAGGTAAATGCCGCTGTTTTCTGCTACTCTGTCAGTTGGCTTTTGATAGATTACCTGACACTTTTGTTAATGATGCAGTAAAGATTTCCTACATCATTGGGCTGTTACGAGGTAGAGCCCTACAATGGGCCGAGGCTAGGAGTCGGCAAGCTAGTTTTTTTACAGGGACTGCTCCCAACGTTCCTAGCCAAATTCAAACAACTCTTTGATCAGTTTGAATCACCAGCAGAAATAGATAAACAAATATGGGGCCTCCAGCAAGGTAAACAATCGGTTTTAGAATTCGCCATCGAATTTCGCACTCTTGCATCCATTTCCACATTAGATGAGCCTTCCCTTAGGGCCGCCTTTTCTCAGGCACTTAATGATAGAATCAAGGATCAATTAGCATTTTGCCAAGAACCGGAGAACCTTGAGTCCCTGGTCCAGCTAGCCACTTACACTGAGAAATGCCTCAAGGAGAGACACAAAATGCAGACCTTCAGACCATCCCCTGTTGCTGCCCCACCGCAACGATCTCACCACGCCCACCAACAACACTCCCCTCCAGTTCACCTCGAGGAACCTATGCAAATTGGACGAGCGCAATTAACCCCTGAGGAGAATGCTAGACGCCGTTCCCTAGGTCTCTGCTTGTACTGTGGTCAGCCGGGTCACTTGCTGCAAAATCGTCCTCTCTCTCTCTCTCTCTCTCTCTCTCTCTCTCTCTCTCTCTCTCTCTCTCTCTCTCTCTCTCTCTGTCTCTCTCTCTGTCTCTCTCTCTGTCTCTCTCTCTCTCTCTCTCTCTCTGCATGTATTCATGCACTTAAATATTAATGTTATGATTTTATTGAAACAATTGTTCTGTAAAAGTTTCTTTACTATTGTGATCAAAAATATTTAATCTCAATTCTGAGGCTGCTCTGTAAATAGTTTTCAAATAAACAATACACATAGCAACTTCTGATCAATCCATATCAATTTCAGACTTAAAAAAATGTATTGATGTAAGCCACACCCACTTCCAGTTAAACCACACCCACTTCCGGGTTAGGCCACGTCCACTCCGAGTACAGACAGATACAGATCATTTAGGTGGTTGAACAGATACAGATACAGATAGTGGTGTACTCGCTTATCCTTTTGTTTCATAGCTTATTGCCACACGTGTGTTGCTGCTGTGAGCTTGGAGCTAGATTACATCATGACATCATGAAGGCAGCTACTGATTCTGGTCCTGTGACACTTGGTGACATGTGAGCTAATTCACCTGGTCAATAACTTTTACATTAAATATTTTGCGTTTTTTTGCTATTAAAAGTAAATTAACTGATAACCTGCATTATTGCAGGACACTCAGCAAAATATGGACACTACATCATGAGGCAGGCACACGTCAAGATTCTATAAGAGCACATAAGGTGAGCAACACCACAGATCATCATCATCATCATTATTATTATTATTATTATTATTGGACACTGTCCTGGATTTGTTTTCTTTCTGCATCTCATTATTAGCCTGGCTGATCAACTGATAACTCCTGTCATCTGGCTATAAGAGCAAGGATGTCCTCACACACCTGTAACCTATCAGCTCATCTGGCAGAATAGAGACATCTCTGTTCCTGGAAAGTCTTCAGCCATCCTTCGATGAATGAGAACCTCCACCAGCTCTGTCTCCTGTCTGCCTACAATTATTATAATAAATGCTGAATGTGTTTAACAAGTTCTCTGTGCTGCCAAAATGTCTTTTTTAATTCCCGTTTTGTTTACATTTTAATGGATATTTATAAATTACATTTAACAATAAATAGTAATTTATATTTATTACTACTGTCAAGCAATCAAGTCTTATTAAATTTACTTTAGATAAAACATTCATTGGTCTATGATTGTAATTAATCTGTAAAGTGAAAAGATCTTTGTACAAAACAGAATATGATTCTTTTATTAAGGTTCAAAAGTCCAGTCTTCTCCAGGGGCCTCATTTATCAGCCTTACTTACGAACAGATCAGTGCGTATATCGTGCGTAGGAACTATTTTATGCATTGTGTGGTATTCATCATTTTGTACCTTTGCGTGGAAATGTTCCTAAATTGTAATTTTTTGTTATTTTTATAAAATTCCTAGTTGTAGAACAGGGGGACCGCAACACTGGAGGTCTCAGTCATCCACATAGGTTCCTCATTCACAAATGATTTCACTCAATAAATAAATATTACAGTGGAAAAACAGTTGTGTCACATAACTGGTGCTAAAACAACCGACAGGAATCTGACATTGGAGAATGGTTGTTGTGTTTTTGGTAATCACAATTTTTTCTCTTTCCATTTTTATTAAGTTTTTAATCATTTTTAATTAATTAGTATTATTTATAATAAAATTTAATTATTTTGTATTGTTGTCCTTACAAAACAGCTTGTGATTTTACTTGAGATGCGTTAGATAAAAGAACATTTCTACAATATTCTTAAGGATTTGTCAGAGCGTGCTCTCTGGAGTAAACGCGTATCTGTGAGCGCACTGACAGGAGATCTTTCTGGAGCTATACTAGGATTTGGTTCTCCAGTACCCCCTCCAGGGACTCTTAAAAGGGTGGGTAGTCTGAACTGTAGTTGCATAAGTGCAAACCTCAGTCAGGACCCCCCCCCCCCCCCCACACACACACACACACACACACATAGGTGGAGGGAGGCTAACCACAAATTACAGGCACCAAGATGTGGGGTAGCATGGTTGATTTACTTTGTACCTTTATTATTTTCTCGATGTTCATATTTCACTAGAGTTGATATCATTATTTTATATTATTATGTATGTAATCATGCTGACCAATGCAAAATTATTCAAATGTTGCATTATATTTATGACATTGTGTTGGGATTCATTTATCTGACTATATAATGCTATTTAATATATTAAATTTTTTTTTCATTCTCATATTAAACTGTAAAAATGGTCGTATAAATCAGGGAAAATGCTTTAAAAAATTAGGTACATTCAAAATTCTGAGATGTTTGTAAGAAAATTTTTATTTAGCTTACTGAGAATGTATTCTACTTTTATTCAATCTTTGATATCCAAAACAAATTCCATCTAATTTTGGAGGAAAGCAAAGACAGGACTGCTTTCATTAGAGCAGTAGTTCCCAAATTGGGGTCTGGGACCCCTAAGGAGGTACCCACATTTTTGTCTGTGCTAAGGCTGCAAGGCTAGCAAGATTTTATTTGCAAAAATTACATTTACAAAATACCAACTACATGCCCTACAGTTTAACCAAACCTCTACATAAAAGTACAATTCTGAATGTCTGTATAATGTTTGTAAATGTGTGTATGCATGTACAAATTGGGGTCGGGGGTTCTTTCTCATCTTGGACACAGGCAAGGGGTCATCCAAAAAAAAACTGGGCAACACTACTTTAGACCATACAGATGGTAGACAACACAATGAAAATGCTTAAATCAACTGGATTTTTTGCTAAATTGTAAAATTATAAGTTTGTGAGCAATAATCCAAACAAAATATTTGATGGTATATTTATGTACTTCCTTGATGTAATGCAAAATAACAACAAGAAGAAAACACAAAGTAGACTTCTGGGCTGAGTAAATGAATGGTTTAATCTACTCTGAGTTTGTCACCAGTGGGCAGGTTGAGTTTGGATCATTTCCCAAGGCTGCTGATCCTCTCAGCCAGGTAATAAATCATTTCCTAGATTAAATTCTGCACCCTGGTGCCAGACAGAACTCATGTCTCAGTTCCTAAATGTACTCTCCAGTTCAAAAATGCATCTGCATTTTGACATTTGCAATAAATCCTTCACCTTTTAATGTAAGAAATACAAAATCTTAAGCTTTTTTTTGAGTGGTGGATTAAATGTTATACATTTGCATATAAAAACAATGATGTAAATCTCCAGGTGTGGTTTGCAACTATGAGCACTTAGACAAACTGAGTGTGCATAGTTTTTATGGAGAGTGGAGACGTTGCAAATTTACGGGATTAGGAAAAGCATGGCTGGCTCACGTGAATTTAAATCTCTCAAACTTAACCAATTAACAGCATGTCTCAGAGACAAGATGGAACCTGGATGAGCTGCTGTTGTGAGCAGGTGAAAAATGGAGAACCATCTCTAAAAGACTAATGTTGCCTGCTACTGAGCTTCAGTGATCCTGTCACACCCAGGAAATCCCTCACTAATCCCCAACCCCAGGGCCAATCCCACAGGTCACCTGGACTGTGGTTGGATCCTCAGCCTGAGTCCTGTTTCTTATGGACTTTACAGACTCTTTTCATTACTCTCACTTTCCATTTAATTTCTGGAAAGAATTCTTCTGGCTTTCAGTGATTACATATGTCTTTTTTCCTGATATCTCCAGGATATGAGCTTTTTGGGTGCATCGGTTGACATCATGCATCAACTTCTCTGTCTTCATGTATTCTTGTGCTGCTTCGGTACAGCTGTCGCCTTCTGTCCGTCCCAGTGTACTTGTGTCTTCCATGGACGTACAGATGGACCAGGAACAAGGTAATGTGTGCTTCAAATGACCTAACTCTCCCCAAAATATACACAATTTTTTAAATCCTTATCTTATAAATACACCACATATTTGTGTATGAAACTGTAGAACTGTCAGCTACGTATTATTCAAAATAACATTTCAAAGTAGTTTTCTTTTTTAATTTAACTCAAAAGCTGAATACTGACTTATAAGAAGACAATCAAAGACCCATCTGAATAAGCACAGCCTTAAACACAGAAGCACTCTGATTAGTTAATCTGTTCTAAATTAACAGAAAGTAAAGCATAATGGCTTTACAACTACCTTTTGCTCACTAAATAAGGAGCAATTAGACACATTCTTACTCGCATGTGCAAAATAAGTTGGTGTGTGTCCTAATTTGGAAGAGTTGTTGGTAAAATGAGCTTCTTTTTCATAAAGGTAAAATGTCACAAAAATATTAATTCAAATTTTTACTTGAATTGCAACACTACTTTTCTTCTTTTTATTATATCTTCTTATTATTATATAATTTCTATGACATTTTTCAATGCATTATTATTATTATTATTTTAATGTATTGTTTTTATTTAAAAAATGTTTTTTATTTTTAATTAAGCAATCTATCAACTTGGTGTTCATAGTGCAATGTTTGTGAGAAATGAGTGATTCTGTTTTGTACTAGATTAAAAAAGTAGTTTGATTAATGACTACCTAAATACCTTGCATTAGTAACAGTCCTCAAATTATGCCAAGTACATAATGTAATACAAACATTAGGAGTTGTTTAAAGGTTGAAAATTCCTACTGAAGGGTAATTTTTTGTAGGAGTCAGTTGTAATTATTTTGTAAGCATACCCTTGGGAGGACCATTCATTGTTTCCCTTCTGAGTTCACAAGATCCTCCCTCAGAGTTTACAATGACAAAGATTATCTGTGACCTTGGCATCTGGGAAGTGACCTTTGGGTGGACAGAGTTGTGTCAGTTAAAGCCTCTCACATCACAATAGCTACAAAAGATGGACAAGAAAAGGTCTATGAGTAATCAAACCACTTATAAAGCCATGTTGAGTTAACATAAACTAGATTTTGACATAAACATTATCATAATACCTTCAACTTTTTATCTTTGACTTTCAGATCTGTGCTCTGCAATGACCCAGACATGTCTGACATCCCTGTTAACGTCCCCGTCGATACAATCAAACTTCGTGTAGAGAAAACTGCGGTGCGCCGAATCCCAACAGAAGCTTTCTACTATCTGGTGGAGCTACGATACCTCTGGATTACTTACAATTCTGTCACCTCAGTGGATACAGGAAGCTTTTACAACCTAAAAGTGCTCCATGAGTTGAGATTGGATGGAAATATGATTTCTGTTTTCCCTTGGGAGTCCCTTAAAGAAATGCCAAGACTGAGGACACTGGATCTTCACAACAACAGACTCACTAATGTTCCCATTGAGGCAATCCCCCACCTCCTAAACATCACCTACTTGGACCTGTCCAGCAACAAATTAACCACCCTGCCCTCTGATCTAATGGATATCTGGCCACCGTTTAATGGTGTTCCAACCACCTCTAATGCCTCTCAAAAAGTTGTGTTAGGTAAGAAGATGTTCTGTCCGGATTGCTTTTATAGGATATTAGGGGCACTCCAGGACACTATGGGTTATGTGCAGTCACCTCAGGAAATCCTGTGTGATTGTGGCTGCCAGACAATATTTAAATTATCTAAGAATAAACAGTGTTTTGATGTCATAATTACACATTGAAAAGTTACCAAAGAAAGAGTAAAACGCTTGGATACAATGGGAAGTTTAACAACTATACAGTGGTGTGAAAAACTATTTGGCCCCTTCCTGATTTTTTATTCTTTTGCATGTTTGTCCCACAAAATGTTTCTGATCATCAAACACGTTTAACCATTAGTCAAAGATAACACAAGTAAACACAAAATGCAGTTTTGAAATGATGGTTTTTATTATTTAGGGAGAGAACGAAATCCAAACCTACATTGCCCTGTGTGAAAAAGTAATCGCCCCCTGAACCTAATAACTGGTTGGGCCTCCCTTAGCAGCAATAACTGCAATCAAGCATTTGCGATAACTTGCTACGAGTCTTTTAGAGCGCTCTGGAGGAATTTTGGCCCACTCATGTTTGCAGAAATATTGTAATTTAGCTTTATTTGAGGGTTTTCTAGCATGAACCGCCTTTTTAAGGTCATGCCATAGCATCTCAATAGGATTCAGGTCAGGACTTTGACTAGGCCACTCCAAAGTCTTCATTTTGTTGTTCTTCAGCCATTCAGAGGTGGATTTGCTGGTGTGTTTTGGGTCATTGTCCAGCTGCAGCAGCCAAGATCGCTTCAGCTTTAGTTGATGAACAGATGGCCGGACATTCTCCTTCAGGATGTTTTGGTAGACAGTAGAATTCATGGTTCCATTTCTCACAGCAAGCCTTCCAGTTCCTGTAGCAGCAAAACAATCCCAGACCATTACACTACCACCACCATATTTTTCTGATGGTATGCTGTTCTTTGTCTGAAATGCTGTGTTACTTCTACGCCAGATGTAACGGGACATTTGTCTTCCAAAAAGTTCTACCTTTGTCTCATCAGTCCACAAGGTATTTTCCCAAAAGTCTTGGCAATCATTGAGATGTTTCTTAGCAAAATTGAGACGAGTCCTAATGTTCTTTTTGCTTAACAGTGGTTTGCGTCTGAAATCTGCCATGCAGGCCATTTTTGCCCAGTCTCTTTCTTATGGTGGAGTCGTGAACACTGACCTTAACTGAGGCAAGTGAGGCCTGCCATTCTTTAGAAGTTGTCCTGGGGTCTTTAGTGACCTCTCGGATGAGTTGTCTCTGCGCTCTTGGGGTAATTTTGGTCGGCCGCCCACTCCTGGGAAGGTTCACCAATGATCCATGTTGTTGCCATTTGTGGATAATGGCTCTCACTGTGGTTTGCTGGAGTCCCAAAGCTTTAATAAATGGCTTTATAACCTTTACCAGACTGAGAGATCTCAATTACTTTGGTTCTCATTTGTTCTTGAATTTCTTTGGATCTTGGCATGATTTCAAATTTTTGAGGTGCTTTTGGCCTACTTCTCTGTGTCAGGCAGCTCATATTTAAGTGATTTCTTGATTGAAACAGGTGTGGCAGTAATCAGGCTTGGGGGTGGCTACAGAAATTGAACTCAGGTATGAAACACCACAGTTGGGTTATTTTTTAACAAGGGGGCGATTACTTTTTCACCAACACATTCTCACTCCCAGCACGTCAAAAACAAACGCTTGGTCAGCCACCCTCCACGTCAGACCCCTGACACCAAAAGTGCCCTTTTTCGTTACTTATGTGCAAAAAGGGATTTTTCCCTTATTTGACTGCAGATCCCAATGCAGCGTAAAACTGACGTGATGGGATGCCCGCAGCCAGGGCACCAAACAAGCTCATTGCACCTCTCCTTAACCTTATCCTCTTATTTAACCTTCCCCTCACCCCTATCCTAACCTTTACCATCTTGCTAGCGAACACGTTAGTGATGTGTCGATCGCTCTAAAAGCCAGCTCTATGAAGTGAACGGCGGGAGCCGCCTCATCATTGGTCGAGTTTGGACCGAGCCAACGCGAGGGGGAGGTTTCAACTACCATGGTGGAGGTTAAAATTAGAGGGTATTTGTAACCTCCCCCTCGCCAGATGGTATGTTCTAATGTTCCCCTTGGGCGGCAAATACGAGTATTCACAGTCAGAATGCATGGGAAACACGCTTGATCACAGTGAGAGTAACGTTTTAGGTAGCAAGAGGGTTAAGGTTAGGATGAGGGAGAGGGGAAGACTATAAATAGTGAAACGTTAAGGTTTAGGTGCGGTTAAATGTGCTTGTTCTGTGCCGCATCAGCGGATATTTAATCACGTCAGTTTTACGCTGCATTGGGATCTGCAGTTACAAAAGGGAAAAACCCCGTTTCGCACATAAGTAACGGAAAAGGGCACTTTTGGCGTCTGGGGTCTGACGTGGAGGGTGGCTGACCAAGCGTTTGTTTTTGACGCGGTGGGAGTGAGAATGTGTTGTTTTCACACAGGGCAATGTCTGTTTGGATTTTGTTCTCTCCCTAAATGGGATGGGGCGACGGTGGCACAGGAGTTAAGTGCTCGCCCCGCAATCGGAAGGTTGCAGGCTCGAGCCCCGCTCAGTCTGTCGCTGTCATTGTGTCCTTGGGCAAGACACTTAACCCACGTTGCCTGCTGGTGGTGGTCGGAGGGACCGGTGGCGCCAGTGCTCGGCAGCCTCGCCTCCGCCAGTGCGCCCCAGGGCAGCTGTGGCTACATTGTAGCTCATCCCCACCAGTGTGTGAATGTGTGTGCGAATGGGTGAATGACTGATTGTGTTGTAAAGCGTCTTGGGGGGTTCCAGGACTCTAAAAGGTGCTATATCAAATACAGGCCATTTACCATTTAAATAAGAAAAACCATCATTTCAAAACTGCATTTTGTGTTTACTTGTGTTATCTTTGACTAATGGTTAAACGTGTTTGATGATCAGAAATATTTTGTGTGACAAACATGCAAAAGAATAAGAAATCAGGAAGGGGCCAAATATTTTTTCACACCACTGTACCATCTTAACAAGCCAGGATGACCAGAGATTTAGCAAATATATGAGAAGTTTTGCATAAATGTTGCCTGTTAAGTCTGCCCTAAACCAGTGTAACAATAGAAAAGATCTTGATTCAGGCTCATTACCAACACAGAAGATGTTTCCACAAATGTACAAAAACAGATTATGGACATCCCTTAACCCTAACTCCAGTGATCATCACCCAAAACCTGGAAATCAGGTTACGATCTGGTCTCTTGGTCCCTGGAGCTCAAGGAGGAACTTGGGTAAAAGTAAAAGCCAGGATCAAGAAAATGTAGGAAATATCAATGGGGATTTGTCATACAATGCCCAATGTTAATGCATGTTGAATGCCAGACCCTTTTGAACAGGAAACCAGACCTCCAGACATAGGGACCATCTCTAGAACCAGCCCTTGGGGCTCTAGAGGTCCAAGGAGATTTTTGGAACAGGTTCATAGACAGAAATCAGCCTTCTGGACCCATGTACAATTTTTTTTAGCAACTTCCTTTCCTGAAAGTCCTTCAAAAGTAAGGGTTTAGTCAAATACCAAACTAATGTCCACATGTATGGCAAATACATTTCTTATCCTGGAGTACCATCTTTAAGATTTCAGAGCTCATGATATGGTACAGGGCAAATGTCAAAATATGTATGACAAATGCTAGTGTAAGACTACCCCCCCCCCCCCCCCCCCCCCCCCCCCACACACACACACACACATCCAATTGAGCCTACAAATTGATGTGGCTCATACATTTATACAGTATAAGGCCAGCATCTGACAGCCTCTAACACTAACCCCACTCATTAGAAATGATTTTTGGTTGGACTGCATTAGATTGGCTTAACAAACAAAATAAGATAACTGACACCAAGTTAAAGCTGAACAAGCAAGGCCAATGCGTCTGTGCACTTCCATGATGATGTAGAAACCAGGGCTTTAGTAGACATTTGTAAAAGATATATAAAAACACCTTGAATTGATCTTTTTGGCGTAAATAAATAGAAACCGATCGACCCCAACTTAGGAGACAACCACCATGTTTGCAGATTTACATTTCTCCCATCTTAAAGCGACAGTGTGTATGTTGCCTGGCGATAGGGGGCAGTACATACCTAAATCATTGCCAGCAGGCATTATTTTTGTGTTCAAGTAAGACCTTACCAATGGATGGCCATTAGGGTCAAAAATCCTTGGTAGTGCACCCTCCAGCAAAATGACAAGATCATCCGATTCCATCGCCCAGAGTCTTATGGTGTTTCTCAATGCCAAGGAACCTTGTCTTGATGTCTTGGTCCCGCCCCGGTTGCCTAGGTGATACGTCATCAGGACCACCAAGACGTGTTCCATTGTTCATGTTCTACCCAGGCGTCTGTTCTCCGTTTGTTAGCCGTTTAGCTAGCTGAGTAAGGATACATGGGAGGTGTCTTGTAGCCTAGCCCTGGTCAAAAAATTTCCCAGAATACAGTGCTGTATTTAAAAAAGGATGGCAGCTCAGAAGCCGGCAGCTACATTGGGGGCAAATTTCAAGTTTCAATGTAAGTCAACTAATTGTTGCTATTGGGCTGATATCTGACATGTTTTTACATCCAAAACAGTTAGCTATGGTTGGTTAGTTGTAGCTTCGGTGGCTAGCAGGTAGAAACTCGCTTTTATATTTGGGGGCGACGGTGGCACAGGAGTTAAGTGCTCGCCCCATAATCGGAAGGTTGCAGGTTCGAGCCCCGCTCAGTCTGTCGCTGTCGTTGTGTCCTTGGGCAAGACACTTAACCCACGTTGCCTGCTGGTGGTGGTCGGAGGGACTGGTGGCGCCAGTGCTCGGCAGCCTCGCCTCTGTCAGTGCGCCCCAGGGCAGCTGTGGCTACATCGTAGCTCATCCCCACCAGTGTGTGAATGTGTGTGTGAATGGGTGAATGACTGATTGTGTTGTAAAGCGCCTTGGGGGGTTTCAAGAACTCTAGAAGGCGCTATATCAAATACAGGCCATTTACCATTTATATTTAATTTAACAAATATATACACTATTTTAAAAATAAAAGGCTCATAATATATTTATATTTAAACTTATATGTATAAAATATAACGTTATCTTCTGTGTCATGTGATGATACGCGAACGCTGCGGTCACATGATGCAAGTCTGTTCCATTTAACCATTTTTTTTTACCAAGGAAGGACAGTGTCTTCATAAGCAAGGCGATGTCTAGCAAGGCCAAGCGCCTTGACACTGAGAAACACATTTAGACCCATTCCCATGTATTTTAGAACAGCCAATATTTTTCAAATACTTGACATCTTTTAAGTCATTTATAACAATATTTCGATGGATATTTCCAGAGATTAATGGTTAAAGCTACACATTGTCACTTTAATGTAAATGGTAGGAAAAAGTACGGATTGATCAGGAGCAGGTTTGTAGTAATGAGGGTATTGCCTCACTTTTTAGTGGTGAAAAAACGCTGGGCTGAAAGCCCAAACTTGTGATTTACTCATCCGTCTATGTTCCAACCCTCACATGATGCAAGGAACAAGATCCTGACCAAACAGCTTACCTAGGCTTCCTATTAGGGTGTCCAGGTACTTGAGGAGCTCCATCATCCAAGTGAGTCTTGGTGCTGCTCCACTTCAAAATAAATCACTGAGTTAGTTCAGATGTCTAATTTGAATAACTCCTGGTTTCTTTTCTCTGGTGGTTTACTGGGCACTTATCATTAGGTGGCCTTTCCGGAACAAAACCTGACACTGTTGAAGGGATTATATTTTCTCTCTGGGTTGGAATTCCCTGGGGAATCCCTTGAGAATCCTTTGGAGGAGCTGGCGAATATCACTAAGGGAAAGGATATCTGCTGTGATTATTCATCAAATGTATTTTGGAGTCACAGTGAAGTAACAAATATTCTTTGTGTCTGTGTGACACATTTAAAGGTTAATAAGCCATTAAAGACACGCTAGCATGTCTGTGCTAACCAAGCTAGCTGTGTCTAGTTGTACAAGAAAGGGAAATGTGGTTAAGCAGTAGGAAAATACAAAACAATTTCTTAAAGAAACAATTCTTCAGAGAGTCCTGAAGTACTTCTCTGTTAATCATAAAAATAAATTAGTCCTTTATATTAAACTATTTCTAATAATTTCAAAAATATCTAAAAAGTACTATTAAAACAACAAAGTTTGAAGTTTCACAGGCAAAGCTTTTGCTTTTATTGTACTTGGGTTGTTAGTGATAACGTTTTTGCTAACAGTGGAGCAAATAGAAACTGTGTTCCCACCAATGATGGGAAGGCCAGAGGCAGCTTAGGTGCTTTGTTACTGTTAAGACAAATTAATCTGGCTAATGGGCTTAGCGTGCACCAGGACACGTGTTTGTGTTCATCAGGTGTTTACAGTAGGTTGGAGTTCCACATTATTACCTCTTTTTTTTTTCCTTAACTAAAACAAGAAAAAGTAATTTATCTGTTAGTAAGAATTCACATAGTTTCCCATCTGCTTTAGTTTATACATTTACATGCTTTAGTTTATACATTTATCAAAACATGCCTTTGCAGCACAAGAATGATTGCAGACATTTTTAATGATCTAGAAAACAGTCGTAGTTTTCACTCTTGTTCTGGCCAAACGTTATAACTGTATACTTGTTTAAAGTGGCAACAAACTAATAAATCTTGTTAAATGTTTCGTTTTCAGGCCTTCAGGACAACCCATGGTTTTGTAACTGTAAAATCTCCAAGCTGATTGAGATGTCCAAAATGGCCGACACACCTGTGGTTTTGATGGATCTATTCTTGACGTGTGCAGCACCGGAAAATTTGTCAGGCGTCTTGTTTCAGCGTGCCGAGCTTGAAAACTGTGTGAAACCATCTGTGATGACGTCTGCAACAAAGATAACATCCGCTTTGGGCAGTAATGTTCTCTTACGATGTGATGCCACAGGAGCACCTACACCAGTTCTTTACTGGGCAAAGTCAGATGGCTCACCGGTCAATAACACAAGTATGAAAATGTTTGGTTTTACATTTAATCTCCTAGTCAGAAATGCTTAATGACATGACCATTTTATCCAACAAGACCTAACTTGTGTTTATGCTTTCCTTTGTAGTTCAGGAGTCACCTGGGGAAGGCATAAAGTGGTCCATCATGAGCTTGCATGGGATAGAGTTCAAAGATGCAGGTGACTACAGCTGCAAAGCAAAGAATGATGCTGGCACTGCAAAAGCAACCATTTCTCTATCAGTAGCAGGGACCATCATCACCACTGCCCCACCAATACGGTTCGGTGGCGGAACTCGACCAACTCCAGACACAACGCTCACTTCCCCAAGTGATATTTCGAATACACCATTCATCATGACCACAGTCTTACCAAGATTTTCCACTGTTTCTGCCGTCCAGAAGCCCCCCAACTCAGCCTCTGGCAGTGATTTACAGAAGGGCTCTCTGAAGCTAATTAAAAATCAACAAGGGAGTAATGGGAAAAAACTTGCAGCAGATGAGAAGAGCAGGAAAAGCGATGCATCACAATCTATTAACAACTTACAGATCATAGAGGAAACAGCTGACAGTGCAGTGCTGCTGTGGACTGCAGGTGGATTACTAAACGATGCTCCACTTACAGTTGTGTATTCACCATACGGTGAACAGGATGACACCAAAAGGACGGTGGAAACCAAAGCTGGGAGGGGAAAAGTGCTCCTTGATGGGCTTTCACCTGGAATGAGGTACTCGGTTTGTTTAGTAGCAAAAGGAAGTTCAGCTGGGAAGGACCCTTGCATTGATTTCTACACCGAAGACAGTGGTCAAAACCAGCTGTTCTTGATCGTAAGTGGTATAGCCTGTGCTTTGGCTCTGCCTCTTATTGCTCTGCTGGTCTACAAGATTATTGCTCTTTACTGCAAAGGGCAGAACTCTGCCTTGGATGAACAGGAGCTAGAAAAAGAGAGTTATGTCAAATTTGAGACAATTACAATGAAACAAAGAACTTTAAACCCAAATCCTACTGAGCTATGGGCAAGAAGACCAACTAATGAATCAGAGCGATTGTTGCTGTGTTCCCGGTCGAGCATCGACTCCCAGATGACCTATAAGAGTGATAGTTCGAGGTCTGAATATCTGTGCTGACTTCAAAATGTATGGCCTATACATTAACACTTTTGTAGTAAAGCTGCCTTTCTGAACACTGGAGAAACCCTAACTATTTGTCAACATGAACATTTTCTAGTACCGGGCCAACAGCAGTGATTCTGACAGAACTATTGTTTTAAAGTATTTATAAGACTATTTTGAAAAGTGTCAACATAAAACACTCTGACGAAATTTGTTAGTTTCCAAGGTAATGTTTTCATGCTTGTCATGTTCATCAGCCTTACATTTAATACTGAAATGGCTTTTGCTGTACGGCTTGATTTCAAATGGTTCTGTACAAAACACACTTCAGTAAAAGATCACATGTTTCATGCTGTTTTCATGCCAAAGCTACAAAGTGTCAGAAATGAATATTGTTGGGTTTTTTTCAGAGAAGAACCAGAATATTCCTCTTCTTTTTCACAGTGTTTTTGCTTTAAGGACCAAGAAAACTGTTGCCTTATTAGATATGAAATATACTGTCTTTGTGTTTGATAGAATACAGCAGGTGGCTCATTTGGCAAATGTTGCCACCCAATGTGATTATTTGTAAATACATGTCTTTATTTGTTTAAAATATGAATTCATTTCAACATTTGTGAACTTATTGCATGCTTTCTCAACATAAAACATTTATTTTGTAAAAACTTTTCAGGATTTCAACAAGCATTCTGGAACAGCCTCTGATTAGAAAACTAGTGTTTGTGTACAAGGCAAGGGCTAGTCTGAGATGGAAGTGCTTATTACTAACTGCAGTCTTACAGGAATTTCTGGCCATTCTTCTACACCTACTATCTATTCTAGCTTCCATGGCGGCCTCTGTACCAGAACTAAGAGCTTGCCTGACTGTACCAAACCCAAATTTTATCCCCATCCTTCAACAGCTCCAAAATTTTAATTTGCATAGCAGGACATGCAAGCAGTGCATTATGCATTTTACTCCACTGTTGATTTTGAATACATTGTTCTTTATATAAATGCACACATACAATAAATATGGTTATTTACAAGCGCAAATATCACAAGCAGTGAGATATGACACTTCTGGTGTGTTAACCCACCGTGCCTGCTGGTGGTGGTCAGAGGGGCCGGTGGCGCCTGTGTACGGCAGACTCGCCTACTTCAGTGTGACCCAGGGCAGTTGTGGCTACATTGTAGCTCATCATCACCAGTGTGTAAATGTGTGTGTGACTGGGCAAATTAATTACTGTGTTGTGAAGTGCCTTGGGAGGAGGGTGTAGAACTCCAAGTAGGTGCTATACAAATACAGACCATTCACCATTCTTTATTTTTCTGAAGAAGCATTAAGAACATCCTTATATTTTGCTACCACTAGGTTTTCTGTTGCAAGTAGCTGTGTTGTTTGGTTTCCTGTACCTGTGATAGAGGAACTGGAGCCACAGTTGAAGCTGATCTCAACCACACTGAAAAGCTTCTTCAAGCAGAAAAACAAACATATTACACATGCTAAGCCCACTGCTACCATATCCTACAGATGCACTCAATTCAAACTAAAGTCGGACTCTTGTCCACTCAGCATTCAGGGAGTGACAGCGAATGCTAACACTTTTATTGTTATTTGTTGGGGGTAAAATAGTGGGAATAGGTCAATGACCTTTCATAGTGAGAACAAGCAAACATTCTCAGCCTCGTAAATCTTCTGCTCGTCCGTAGATTTGATGCTCTAACAATATCCCAGTCATGGAGCGAAAGAATAGAATTTTCTTTCTGGCCTCTGTTAGTTGTTCTTCTGGGCAAGAACAGGACAAACAATTTAGAGATAATCTGTCAAACCCTTCCAATGTTCTCTGCAAATTACTCATTCAATCCATTCTCCTGGAGCCAGACGGACCCCAACAGGAGATAGTCTCACTTCATTCATACTCAGACAGTGTTTATGGAGTGCGTGGCTTCTGTAAAGTACACAGATATTCTAATATCAGAGTATCCAGTTAGCCTATTAATTAAATAAGTGTTAAAGTGGGGTCACCAATGACTACAGTTTTCCCCAATCTCTCTCCCAGGCACAACAGCAAACATCCAACAGCATTCATCTGGGACATAGGGCAGTGGGTGGGGAGTAAGGCTAATACATTGTTGGGTCCTTTTTTTCCCCCAGTTCAGCTGCAGCTTTGAGAAGATCCTGTTTCAATGCTAGAGGACTAGCATGTGCAAAATTTATCACTGGGGCGTCAAGAATTTCAGTCTTTGCTTCCAAAACAGACTGGCAGTCAGAGGACTCAACGTGGTTGGAGAGGGACTCCACACACTTTCTGCTAGTTTGGTTGAGCTCTGCTTCAAGAGTTTTGGAATGGATGTACTTTTCAACTGGGCTGTGTCCCTCAAGAGTGGCATCTCCTGATATGCAAACCAAAACAGTCTCAACAGGTTCGAGAGATTAACAAGGATGCTGAGAATCCAGAGGAACAAATTACTCCACTTTTACAAACCTATGTGGACCAGCCTTGATAAAGGCAATGCCTTAAACTAAGTGAACACGTGCAACTGGACTGGAGTGCTGGAGTAATCTGGATACAATGATATTAACAGCAGTTGTGTACTTTTGGATGCAAAGTGCTGGAAGCTTGGTAAGTGGGACAACATGTTGGGGAGAGCAGCTATCAGGAGCAGGAGCTAACAGCAGCTGTGTGGGTGAGTCCAGACCTGATCAATTCTCCCATCTCTTTTTGCAAAGTAGTATGACTGCAAGAGCTCAAATGATCTTAGTGGAATGCCATAGAAATGTAATCTGATTACAGATGCTGAAACACAAACAATTGGCTTCATGTCATCAGCACATAGATTGGTTGAGCCACAACAGACACCTACAATAGTAGATCAGGCAGAGAGAAGGGTTCAACAACAGTAATAATGAAAAGACTCAATCAAGGAAATTGGAATTTGGCTGTCAAATGCTGCCAAGAGCAACAGTACTGTGCAGAAAAAGTGCTTCCTTACATTTGAATTTGAATTAAACTATTAAATTCTGATACAGAACAAACAGAATGTGGAAACATTATTTTACCACAAACACACACAACAAAATGACAGTTCTAGCGTTCTTAGAGACTTCTCAAAGATTCTCAAATGGGTTTAAAACTGAACCGTGTTGAGGCAAAATATGTCATGCTTCCAGAACCAAACTTAAGCCTGATTATGGCCACCAATCTCACCTTCAGTTAATGACTGCTAAATTAGTAATGAAAGGAGGAAAAAATCAGAGACTGGACCGTTTTGGTCAGGACCACAGCTTTTTTTCCAGCAGTCATTGGCTTCAGAGTTTAAATCATGAAATCACAGCTGGAGATAACTAGACAGGCACAGGTGAGCATGGTTAGGTGGTTGGGTGAAGAGAGGCATGAAAAGGTCTAGTACAACAATACAAGAGTTAAATCTAATAATGATTTCTGGTTTTGGAGCAAATGAACCTAGACCTAAGAAATATCTGAATCGTACGATAAGACTAAACCTCAAACATTTCCGCATCATATTATAAACGATGACAGGAAAGTTTTCCACTACAACAAGCTGACCAGGAAATGGCCATCAAACATCCCAAAGTCTTCAGTGAGTGAGCTACATCTAAAGTAACGTTGAATATCTTGAGAACTTCTGACTTTCAACCCTCTGCATTTATGCAGACTTGGGACCAGGAATCACTGGCTTGTGACCTGTTATGGTTGCCGTAACGTCTGACTCAATGATTTATCAGAAATTATTCAGACAGCTCGGAACCCAAGGTCATACTCTGGAGAATCCCACAGCAGACACAGATTATGTTGTTTGCCTGGAGTTACTCATTGTTTTCATCATTCCACTGAGTTAAGAGTGTACGCGAGCACAAGACAGCGCTGTTATTGGTGTGACTGACCTGAAAATGTTTTATTAGTTTAACCATAAAGAAACAGCTCAGATTTGTTGCCACTTTATGTTTTAGGGGTTGTTGACATTTTAGGACAGTCTTCTGTCGATTTTAACTAATTAGCAGGATCTTCAATGAGTGCGCTAACGCATAAACCCAACAGAGGAAGAAAAACCGCTGCTGCCTTTTTCCCCATTCACTGCAGAAAGAATGGCTAACACAAAAGCTATTTGTTGCTAGGGGACCACATTTTACCTAGAAACAGCTGTGGCGGCCTCAGACTTCACCCCATCTCATTGGCAAATAGGTTTCTAATCAGACACTTATTTAACACTAATGGCAGAATGAAGCAAAGCAAGACGAGGAAACATTAAGTGCTGCCATAGTTACGTGTTCATTCACGGGAACATTCATGTGGGAGAGCAGTTTGCAAATTAAATAAAGGGCAGCTGCACTTGTATTTGTTTTGTTAGTAATGATGCAAAATAAATAAATAAATAAATAAATAAAAACGCTGTTGTGACAAACAAGATGCTTTTTATACCATTTTTATTTCCTTTTGACATTTAAAATCTTCAGTCATTTATCTTAAAATCTATAAATTTATCTTAAATCTTCAGACATTTAAAATCTTTAGTCATAAGCAGTGACTACTTCACTTATTTTAGGCATGTGAGATTAAATTAATAAGACAATAAGTGATGCAGGTTTTACAGTGAAACCCATTAACAGAGCTCTATACATACACGCCATGTTTAAAAATGATTAAAAATGGCAGTATTAAAATATGTAAAGTTTAACAGCTTTAAAATTAACTTTAAAAAACTTCATGTGATTTTGATTAAGATCTGCAGCCTTTCCTGATTTTTGGCCACGGTAAATCAATTCACCGGATGGGCCTCGATGGGAGGAACCATAGAAGGCTCTTTGCTGGTGTGGGAAGCTCAATCCTGTTGGACTTTCATTTCAAAGAAGAGAGATTTTACTGGGCTGACAAGCACACAGGAGTCATCTACAAAGCATCGATGAAAGGAGCACACAGACAGGTGATTAGGCTGCAGAGATTAAATCTGCTCACTTGTAAGAAAGAGTTTTGTTTTAGACAGCCAACAGACTGCTGCACAGAGATGATTTCAGAGATGACTTGTATCTTACATTAACTCTGTCTAAAATAACCAATCGGGGAAGTCATTGGAATCACTCAGAAAAATATATCTGACTCAAAATCAGATCTGTTTTAAGAACATTTCATAAATAAATGTTGCAAAATGAAACATCTTCTGATGGTATTTCCTCCAGCTGATTTTGCAAAAAGGTTAAAAACAAAACAAACACACACACACACACACACATATATATATATGTATATGTATATATGTATATATATGTATATATGTATGTATATGTATATGTATATATATATATATACATATATACATATATACATATATATATATATATATATATATATATATATATATATATATATATATATATATATATATACATATATACATATACATATATACATATATACATATACACACACACACACACACACACACACACACACATATATATATATATATATATATATATATATATATATATATATATATATATATATATATATATAATGCCCCCATCCTCATGGTTGGGAATGAATCTCCCCCGTCTGTGAATGACTATTGAATGTAGTAAATCAAAGCTTTGCTCTGGTCTGTTGTGGTAAAGCTGAGCCTGAAGTCAAAGCTTTTGATTTACCGGGTTGTCTACATTTCAGCCCTTGCCTATGTTCACAAGTTTTTATAACAATGAGGAAATGACGTCAGCAGACATCGTCCAAAACATCTGCCAGTTGTAAAATTGGAAGAGTGAATTGGAAAGGAAGGAAAAGCAAATAAGCAGTATTCGTGCTGCTCTTAAATCTTCATTAATAAACTCCTAACACCAAAACATGCAAGGGAAATCACCCTCAACTATGTCATTCACGGGGATTTGTCTAACAGAATACTGTAAAAATGTAAAAACTTCAGGTCATTGAAGACCACGTTTTTGTTCGTTCTTCTAGACCACAGACTTGCTTAAGTTACGACATACTCCAACAAAATAAAGCTTTAAATGGTATTAATGTCTGTGGAAGCCTTGTGGCACTGATAAGTGACATCACTCACTGCCAAAGCAGTAGCACTGTGCTAACGACTTAGCAAATTCTTGAAAAGGTTGATTTTGTGCGAAGACAAAGCGGCTGAGAGGACCGAGCCATCATATCTCCCGGACAGTTATTTCTCTTCCACAAATTTCCAGGGACTTTTGTAGTGGAAACATGGCTAATGTACCTGAAACAAGCTGTTTAAAAAAAAAGCCCTGTTTGTGATGTCGAAAACAGGGAAATGAGCGTAAGACCACCTTTCATCTGTAGGAGGGAGCTCGTTCTGGAAGGTACTGAAGCTGTCAAGATTTAGACGCGTTTTATTTTGAGAGAACATCATGAACATGTTTTGTATAGACCAGAACTAGTGTAACTAGTATAACTAAAGAAAAAAATGATGTTTCCTTTAGTATGAAGGAAATAGAGATCAGAGGCCAGGCCCAACATAGGGCGATCAAAGAGCTCACCACTGCAGTTGAACAGAGTAGTCACTGGTTGTGGCTGAAACGTAAGGATGCAATTTGGGCTGTCTAACGATGATGTGGTGCTTCCGTGCGACACACACACACGGGTCTGATCAACCAGGGGCGGGCCAACCCTGGCAGAGGGTGTCTTGTGATAAGTGGCCGAAACACCTAATGAGGTCGGGGCACACAACTGAAGGCAAAGCTCACTCCACCAAGATAACAGTCTCATTCAATTGTTGTGCTGAAAGATAGGGATCTTTAACCTCCAGTCCTAGTAAGAATCTATAGGACTTGGATGCTACAACTAATCACCTTTTAATGTTTTACAGAAACTATATTCATTTGACAAACACATCTCAGGCCTTGCAGTGGACTGGATCTGGAACAAAGTGTACTGGACGAGCAGCGAGAAGAGAGCCATAAAGAAAATGGAACTTAGTGGCAAAAATGAAAGAACTATTTTAAGACATTTGACCCAACCAGGTTTCATAAATGTTGATCCTACAAAGAGGTAAATAATGAACACATATCAGTGCATGTTCTTATTCAGCAAGGTGGATCAATCCAATCAGTTTAAATGACAGATTTCTACAGCTCTGCTTGCAGACTGCTATTGTAGAAATAATTTCTTCTTCGTCTTCTTCTTCTTCTTCGTCTTCTTCTTCTTCTTCTTCGTCTTCGTCTTCTTCTTCTTCTTCTTCTTCTTCTTCATCTTCATCTTCTTCGTCTTCTTCGTCTTTGTCTTCTTTGTCTTCTTCTTCTTCGTCTTCTTCGTCTTCATCTTCTTCTTCTTCGTCTTCTTCGTCTTCTTCTTCTTCTTTGTCTTCGTCTTCGTCTTCTTCTTTGTCTTCGTCTTCTTCTTCTTCATCTTCTTTGTCTTCTTCTTCTTCTTCTTCTTCTTCTTCTTCTTCGTCTTCTTCTTCTTCTTCGTCTTCTTCGTCTTCTTCGTCTTCTTCTTCTTCATCTTCTTCGTCTTCTTCGTCTTTGTCTTCTTTGTCTTCGTCTTCTTTGTCTTCTTCTTCTTCTTCTTCGTCTTCTTCTTCTTCTTCTTCTTCGTCTTCTTCTTCTTTGTCTTCTTTGTCTTCTTCGTCTTCTTCGTCTTCTTCTTCTTCATCTTCTTCGTCTTCTTCGTCTTTGTCTTCTTTGTCTTCGTCTTCTTTGTCTTCTTCTTCTTCTTCTTCTTCTTCGTCTTCTTCTTCTTTGTCTTCTTTGTCTTCGTCTTCTTCGTCTTCTTCTTCTTCTTCGTCGTCTTCTTCGTCTTCTTCTTCGTCTTCTTCGTCTTCTTCTTCTTCTTCTTCTTCTTCTTCTTCGTCTTCTTTGTCTTCGTCTTCTTTGTCTTCGTCTTCTTTGTCTTCTTCTTCGTCTTCTTCGTCTTCGTCGTCTTCTTCGTCTTCTTCGTCTTCGTCTTCTTCGTCTTCTTTGTCTTCGTCTTCTTCGTCTTCTTTGTCTTCGTCTTCTTCGTCTTCGTCTTCTTCGTCTTCTTCGTCTTCGTCTTCTTCGTCTTCGTCTTCTTCGTCTTCATCTTCTTCTTCATCTTCTTCGTCTTCGTCTTCTTCTTCGTCTTCTTCGTCTTCGTCTTCTTCTTCGTCTTCGTCTTCTTCGTCTTCATTTTCGTCTTCTTCGTCTTCTTTTTCGTCTTCGTCTTCTTCGTCTTCTTCTCGTCTTCTTCTTCGTCTTCATTTTCGTCTTCTTCGTCTTCTTTTTCGTCTTTGTCTTCTTCGTTTTCTTCTCGTCTTCTTCTTCGTCTTCGTCTTCTTCTTCGTCTTCTTCGTCTTCGTCTTCTTCTTTGTCTTCTTCTTCTTCAAAATAAAAAAGATACATCACTCACTAAGCTTGTCCAGCACATGGGTGCAAAATAACACACACACTCCTAAATACCACAGGTGTTTCTGATCCAGGTCATTCTGTATTGTATGTATTACTCAATTAAGTTCGTACAAGATGCCAAAGGTAGAAATGCAATAGCTTTTCTGTGACTTTATTTCTGTCGTTTTTGAATAATGTAAATGAGACAGAATGTTGTTAAATACATTTGAGGCTAGAAGATTTTCAGATTTCACACCTTGGAGGATTGAAGACAAAGAAAGAAAAAAACGATTAAATGAATTTTCACATATTTTGCAGGTTTTTGTTTTGGGTGTCGGGTGGGATAAATTCAAGCATCCAGCGTTCTGACCTCACAGGACAATTAAAAACAACTTTGATGATGATGCCAAAGCAAATCAAAGCCCTGACGATTGACCGACAAGACAAAAGACTGTTCTGGGCTCAGTTTGGTCCACAAGGAGAAAGTGCTATTGCTTCTTGTGACTACAACGGAAAGGCCCTGCACATCATGGACCACTCGCTGCAGTAAGAAAACTGAAATCTTCTGATGAGAAGTTATTTTTTCAGGACTATAGCTGGTACAAGCATACAACTCATAATTAATCTGACATATTTCTGTTAGGTCTCAGTCACTTGGAATATCTGTTTTTCTGGAGCACATGTACTACACTGACTCTGCATCTATAAAACACATAAACAAATTTTTTGGTGGACAAGCAGCGGACGTCAATTTGAAAGAACTTGCAAAACCTCCCGTTGAACTCAAGGTGGTCCATCCCCTCACTCAACCAACCATAGACCCTTTATCTCAAATTTCAGGTTATAATCCAATTATGATCTTTCAAGATTTCTTTCAATTGAACTACAACTAGCTCACTTATTCTAGATGAAATGTTCTAATGAGGTGAAACTGTTTTATTTTGAAACAGGCTGTGATGAAGAAAGTGGGAACTGTGAGAATGTATGTTCCCATGCAGAGCGAGGGGTTTGTCGCTGCAGAGAGGGTTTCACTCTCAGTATGCATGGCGCCTATTGTGAAGGTTGGTAAAGCATCATCGACAGGATGTTAATCACTTTGTTTTCATTTCTATTTGATCTAGAATTTTAAGTTAGTAGTAAAATGGGAGCATAACATGTATTAAAAAAGTGTAGCAGCTGTTTCCTATGAACTAAAATGTCCCGTGTGTGTGTGTGTGTGTGTGTGTGTGTGTGTGTGTGTGTGTGTGTGTGTGTGTGTTCTCTAGATGTAAATGAATGTGCTCACTGGAACCACGGCTGCTCTCTTGGTTGTGAAAACATCCCAGGCTCATATTTCTGTACCTGTCCCAAGGGATACGCCCTCCTATCAGACAAGAAGACGTGCCGTGGTAGAGTATATCATACACTTTGATTAATATGGTCATCCTGTTTTGTATGTGTGTCATTACAAGTACAAAGCTATGAAGCTAGAAGCTTGCTGGATATTAAAGACCAAGTTAATTTGATTTTTTTATGCATGTGCAGTGGTCTCTAGTATAAACGAAGGCCTTCTGAGTCGATCTCTGCGGGAAAAATGCTCTGGTGGTCCTGTTTTACGAAGTACAGAAATGTGTCAGAGGAGAGGGGCGCAGAACACGGCAGGATTTAGAGTTCTATTTCCTGATATTTGGACATTTCACCTCTGATTGGCCAACAGCAGTAACTCTACCACTGACTCCATTTACTCTGAATTGTTGATGTTTTATCTCCACAAGTAACACCAGTCTGAAAGAGCTCTGCCATGTTGTGTAGTTGCTAATGCTACTGGTTAGCTTCTACTAGCTGAGACATGCTCTACTCTCTCCTGGACACTAAATTAACAATAGCTTTTCCTGTTGTGAGTCAAGATGGGTGCGCCCATGAATGCTAATTTGCTATGTGATGTAGAAATGACTGGCTTTTCTAATTCAAGCATTTCTCTGTCTCTAGGCGGCTAATGCAGGAAATAAGGATAGAAGATTGTTTTCATGTTCAGCCTGCATATTAAACTCCACAATTAACTGAGTGATGATGATATTAAAAGAAAAAAAAGAAACTATTTCTAAGCAAACTTGGTGATTAAAGAAAATGAAGGAAAATTTGATTAATTAATGGCAGGCAATAGAATTCTTACATTAATGCATTTAATAGGATGATTACACCATTATGACCTTACCAGTTACAGGATGTTTGACATGTTAAACCGTGGACCTTTTTTAACTCCACACATATGAATTGAATCTGTTTTCTACAAAGACAGATTAAAATTTATCACAAAAATGCAAATTTTTTTCTAAAAGGGGTTTTGATCACCATAGCGACCACCACTCTGTCCAACAAGATCCTTTGTAATGTTCTGTCTACTGCATACTATTTGACCTATGAGGACCTATAAAGCCTGGGTCACAGGCATCCAGACTGACTAGAAATTTGTGAGGAACCAGTTGTGTGTTCGGTTACTCGGGCCAAAACTCTTTGTCTCTTTGTCACTTTGTCATGCTTGTTTCACACGCTTCCAAGCTCTCAGGCTGAAACCTTGCAATGTTAAAAAGGGGAAAACAAAAACCAATAATAAATATTCATTATTTCAATCCTCTGAATAGATAAAGTGATGAATTTGTGTGGAATCGATTACAAATATGATAAAACGCTTTATACCAGATCATAACCCTGTTTCACTTGGTCCTATGCACAGGTTTTCTTTGGATTCTATGCAGGCGGATGGGGTTTCAGTGTGTTTTTGTGCAGATTTGTTGTCTGCAAGTAGAACAAAACGTTGATTTTTTAGTGAACAGAAAACTCAGACAGTCTGACTTGTTCACACAAGCATTCAAATTGTGTTAGTGCCAAAGTGCATATTTGGAAATACTGAAACACATTCATTGTGTTTTTTTTATCTTAGAGTTGTAATCATAAAAAAAATTTTGAGATACTTTGAAAATAGATGGGGCTCAGTCATTTTTGTGGATTTATTCTATGTTTTACTATTAATCAGCACAATTCCCAAACTCCCTGCTGATCTGTCATGAAGAAGCTTCTTGTGTCTGCACCATTGCCTGCTCATATGTGTTGCACACGTTTCTAAACATGCTGCAGATGTCCGTGACTACAATCTGACTCAGTATAGAAATCTACGCTAAACTTTCACTTTTAGAGTCAAATTTGCAGAACTCAGACAAAAATATAAACAGATTTGTGTGTATGTACCGCTGCTAGCTGATAAAACTGACCATCTTCTAAATAAGTATGGCTCTAATCCTAATCTCTTCTCATCTAATCCCACTCCTTGGAAGCCAAGACAATAGAAAAGGTCTGCAGGCACGATGGATTAGATGATGAGGTGACATTTGCAGGAGGAACATATCTTGTCAGCAGCTTTGTCTGCCGAAGCTATTTAGCAGCCCTTTGCCAAGGTCCAGTGCAGAACAAACATGTGACTGAGCAACAATAGAAGTGGTGGCAGAGATTACTAGAAAGAGGGATTAACTGGGTTATTCGTAGTCTCAATCTTCATTAGAAAGGCACTGTTTGTTTTATGTTGATTTGTCTCATAGAAGTTTCTTGTTGTCACGAATTAAGGTTTTGTGATTCACTAATATTATAATACAGTTACATCATGGACGTGATGGCTGATGTTGTTCTGATGAAAAAGTGTCAGGGAAGACTGGAACAATGATCCTCATGCCTCGCCTGCATCAGTTGACCCTTGTCATCCCTCTTGACCAGCGGTGCTCAATAGGCGGCCTGCGGGCCAGGCCCGCCCCCCTGGAACAGACCTCACGCTTTAAGTTCATTTTGTTGAGTGGCCCTCGGACCATTACATTTGAGTAGCCCTGCTCTAGACCAACACAAGTATCCATTCTCATGTGAGCTAGCATTACATCACTCTCACTAAGAAAGCTTCTCATCACACTTTCTACTGTTTGTGTGGGATTAGACCTGACTTCATAAAAGGATTTTACCAGAGCAGAACCTAAGAAGCTTGATGTCCTTCTGACTCACCTGCTGGCAACAAGGCCCTAAAATAGCCTGGGAAAGTCCTGGACTTGTGGCATTACTTTCCCTATCTATACCACACAAGGGCAGTTTGCTCAAAACACCCTTTAACTTCACAGATTTTAATTTAGTTCCTGGTTTTACACGTGTTTGAACTGTTTCTAAACAGCAATGCTTTCCTCCCTTTGAAACAGAAATAAAACCATGTGAAGGCAATGCAACAAAATGTGGTCATGGATGTCTGGAAACAGAAAATGGTCCTGTCTGTGTTTGCCCTGAGGGATCTGTTTTGCAAGAGGATGGACAAGCATGCACTGGTATGAGCAACCAATTACAAAGGCCCTTTTCTTCTGAACTTTAATCCTGCTCATTATCAAAAAAACATTATAAATTTGTCATGAAGAAAATCATCCTTCATATAATTCAGACAGACCAGAATTCTGAAGCTTAAAAACGCTTCAGAAGACCAAAGACAAAGGAGGACTGGATCTACCCAACTTTTATTATTATTTCTTAGCCAACAGGCTGCAATATATACCAAGATGGTTGCAAAATAACCCACTAGATGAGTCCTAGTTAGACATAGAACAGAGACTTTGCAATATTATAGAGCTTTCAGACTTACCATGTATTAGCTCAAGCATAAGAAAACATGAAGTCTTCAAAAGTATTAGTATCAGCACCTCTCTGACAGCATGGTGGGAGTATCTTAAAATGACAGAGTCTTCACTAGTACCATGCAGACGCACACCTATCTGGAATAATCCTGATATTTTGCAAAATAACAAAATGATGAACCTTCCGGACTGGAAAAATAAAGGAATCCTATACCTGGAACACATATATGAAGGATTGGACTTCATCCCATTTGATAGAATAGTCTCCCAATTTCGAATAGACAAGAATAGCTTTTTAGAATATCACCAAATTAAATCTGTAGTCAAACAAAAATTTAAGCTCAATAAAATAGAATTCCAAACACCACCAAGGGTATATGACTTTTATAAGCTCAAACCTCAAACCCCCCAAACTACTGTCTAAAGTATATAAGACACTGTCCAAAATAGACGATAGAATAGCAATCTCTATTGAAAAATGGGAGGTGGATAAATCAGTCAGCTTTCACTAGAACTTCTGGTCCCAAACTTGTTTAAAAACTTTTAAAATGATCAGACACCCCAATTTACAATTAATTCAGTACAAAATTCTACACAGAGTACACTATATAGGTCATCGGATGGGGTTTGTGTCGTCTGACACCTGTACACACTGCACAAACAACGTTCCTGACAATTACATTCACGCACTGTGGTCCTGTCCACCTGTCCAGGAATTTTGGGGTAGAGTATTTGAAGACCTGTCAAAGTCTCTGAAATGTCTTATCCCAACCAGCCCCTCTCTTTTTGTACTGGGAAACCTGGACGATGTCCCGATTGAAACATCTTTGGTTCACGTGGTTCTAACTGCCATATACATCGCTAAGAAAACTATCCTCTTAAATTGGAAAAATAGAGATACTCTTTGTATCAACCAGTATAGAAATCTTTGGTTAGATCATATTACACTTGATACAGCCTCTGCTTCCACTTCAAATCAATCTCTCTGGGCTCCTTTGATCGGTTCCATCACATAGCGATGACAGGGGACCATTGATATTGTCCTGCGGGATGATGTGGGTGAGGGGGTGGAGGGTCTGAGTTTGGAGTATCCAGATGTTCCCTGGAGGTGGGTTCACTGGGGGTGTCTGGGACTGGTGGGCTGTTGACCCCTCTGGAGGTGCTTGGGTTGCCTCGGGGTGTGGGTGTGGGGGGGTGTGTGTGTTGGGGGAGGGAGGGGGACTACTTGCAGTTGTGAGTGGGGCCCCTTGGAGGTCTTGGCGGTGGCCATGGGTCACTGCCCGGCAGCTGCATTGCCCCTGGGCGGGTCTGGGTGGGGGCCTGGGGGCTCGGGGTGTGGGGGTGGCCGGCCCCGTGTGGGGATCTGCGCGGGGCATTTGGGGTCGGGTCCTGACATGTATGCTGCCAGGAAGAAGGCAGGAACATGCAGCAGTGCCTGGCTCGGGTTCAGGGGCCTCAGGTAGACCTTGGCTCCTCTGCTGTCCCGCCACGGGGAGGGGGAAGTCCAGGAGGGGAGGACCCAACCTTACCTGGATGTCCTATGTCTTATATAATCTGTAAGTTGTGCAAATGCAGGGATGGGTGTAAATATTCTGCTGGGGTGGGGCTGGGTTGGTGCCCTCGGACTCTGTGAGGCTCTGTGATGCTGCTGCTTTGGGCCCTGGCAGGATGGGCTGGGGCCTCCATGCCCTGGGTGGCATTTTGACAACAGAGGTGCCTATTGGGGCCAGTGGGGGAGCTGGCTCCCTGGAGGGCTAAGCCCAACCAGCCATTCCTCCCCATCCCCACACATTTCTCTCCTCCTGCTCCCTCACATCATCACACAAACAAGCACATAGGACCTTGGGGGTTGGACAAGTCAGGGAGTGCGGGTATGGACCCCATTTCCGCATTCCTGTGGCAACCTGCCCCCCAATTTTATTTGCACCTTAAACACTTCCACTAACGACATTCCACGCAAACACACACTTAGGGCCTTGGGAGTGACCACATCCAACGGCAGTTGGCAGGGGGATTTCTCAGCCTCATCCCAAGTGCCGGTGCCCACTTCCAATTTTAAACTGCACTTAGACACTGAGGGCTGTGGGTGCAAGTGGGGTGGTGTGGTGGTATAGGCCAGACGATGCCCGCACTGCCCGCTCACCACAGCCATGGAATACACCTCATCAACACTCACTAACACCATATTGGTGCAGGCGGAGGGAGACCAGGGGTCTTAACACACCTCTGTTGTTGCTTGGCTTCCTGGGGCTGGAGGCTAGGAGGGAGATCCGGCCGTCCGGTTGGGGTCTGTGGTGGTGGGTTGCTGTGCTCAGCGTTGGGCGGGGGAGCCTGCTCATCAGCACCCCAGCAGAAAGGGTCGAACTCTGGGAACCGGTAATTGTTGTACCCCATGTGCAGCAGTACCGGGACCAGAGTGAAAAGGGTGTGTATGGGGAGCATGAGGGGGTGTCTGGCGTGCATTTTTGTAAGTCCTTCGTTGTATGTGTATGTGTGAGCATGAGGGAGGGAGTGTGTGACTGTGTTTGTGTATGACTGTATATGTCAGGTGGGCCCTTTGACTCCTCCCTTCTCCCGGGACTTCTTTTGATGATATAGATCTTCGTCTCCCCTCTCCCTGCCACACCTGTGTGGAGTGCGGTGCCTTGCTCTGCCTGGGTTGTGGCTCCCGGGTCAGGGAGTTTAAGATTTTTGGCGTCTGCCTGACCAATCCCGGTGGCTGCCTGGTGGGGTCTGGGTCCCTGGGCTCTGTTGGGTCCCCGGCGGGGGTGGTCGCCCCTGGGTCCCGGGTCGTTGGGTCCCGGGCTCGGCCGGCTAGGGGGTGGGAGGCTGCGGGCAGGCCTGTGGGCTTGCCGCCAATATCTCCCGGGACTCTGCCGGCTGCTGGTTGTGGCCCCCCGGGGCGGTCCTCTGCGCCTCTCGAGGGGGGCAGGGGTTTTTCTGATCGCAGTCTCCCTGGGGTTCCTGTACTCTGGGGCAGCTCCTGGATCTCTGGCACTTGGAGCTCCCTCTGTCTCCTGCACATCTTTAGGGTGCGGATCTGTGGTCCCTCACACTCTCTGTTGGACGCTCCTATAGAGAAACCTTACATAAACAAGCGCGTGTACACACACAGGTGCTCACATGGTGCTCTCATAAGTATGGACTTGGGCACGTTCAACACATGTCTTAAGGCTATGGTTGGCACTAAATGCACTGTGATTTATTATCGTGTGATTGTTCAGTTAAACAATGTTGATTATATAGTTCTTCATCAAGTTGATGCAGTGATAGCTTGATCTTGTTGTGTTGTTGTTGTGTCCCATTCTTTGTTTGTTTTGTTTTTTGTTTTCTCTTTCTGCAGGTATAGAAGCAGACTCTTGTTCATTATTATTTATTTTTGTGGACCCACCCCCACCCACCACCACCACCCCACCACCATCTTTTGTCTCTTCCTTTCTCTTTCACCTCTGTCTCCGTGTCTGGTCGGAATTAAAAAGCATTCAAAAACAATAACAATAAAGTTTTATCAGGCGTGAGATTAAAACAGAAGCTTTGATGTTCCACCTGAGAGTAAATCTGTAAGGCTTGTCACCAGCATTCAGACATCAACTCTGTTTGCTTCACAGCCAGACAGGACACGGAAATAAATAAATAAATTAATTAATTAATTGAAAAGAATTGTGTGTTAACTTTGAAAATGTGGGCGCGATTTTTAATTGTCAGCAACTCCAGCAAATCAACCAGAACGTTTTTTTTCTTGATTCCTTTCCCTTGCTTTACTTTATTTAACTTTCAGTTTTAGTTCACTTGCTGTTCTCCTGATTATTCACATAAACCTCTTAAATTGAATGGATACATCATATTTTAGACATCTCTATCAGTAGCATGGAGGTTTGATGAGTTTTTCTCATTATGCTGTTGAATAATGAAACTTAGTTCTGAATTTTCATTTTTAATTTCAGTCATGATTCCAAAAGTTTTTAAAGGCAGGGAGACCGAAAAGGTTGAAGTAACCTCCAAAAAGAAAAAAACTTCTTGTGTTTTGGTGCAACACTGAATTCAATGTAAAGAGGATCCCTGTCTTTAATTTAGCAATACCATTTTTGACCAAAATTTATATGGAGATTTTCAACAAAGTGACACGTAAAATAATTTACAAAAACTACATTTATGTAAAATGCAAAGAAAATGTTGACATCTAAACCTAACTATAACATCTTTGTAAGTGTTGTTATTGATAAAATCTAAATTGTGTTTAAGTATATTTCACTATTGTTCCAGATGAAATGAATGAGATTTTCCAATTTTATGGATAGTAATGAGTTGGGCTCAGACGTGTTACTGAGTATATTGTTCACATTGTAATTTAATTTGGCCTTAAAGGAAAAATTTTTAAGGGTTTGGTATAAGGATGACCTAATCAGTAATCCCCAGCACATATAAATATTTTTTCTTAGTTTTTAACTGTCTGACATGTGAACATTTTAAAATAACAACACAGAACACAAGCTGAGTTGAGTGTTAACCCTGGGTTGGGTGGTTGCAGGCTGCTCGTCAGCAGACAGGGGCGGTTGCAGTCAGCTCTGCTCCCCTGTCACCCCTGGTAGGTGGCTGTGTGGATGCCTGCCTGGCTATGAGCTCCACCAAGACGACAAACGCTGCACTGCAACTGGTGAGTCATGCTGAGGCAGAGGAGCCCACAGTAAACACTTCCTCACTACATCCCTCTGCTGCTGAAAAATCAGTAGGAAAAATGAAAAAGAGCTAACATGAGGATTTTATTCATCATGCTCTTGTTCCTCAGGGCCACCACCCTTTCTGATAGTTGCTGATCTAGTAGATGTGAGAAGAATGAATCCTGATGGAACAGAAGACCAGATCTTGGTGAAGGAGCCCAGGGGAACAATCTTAGCTTTGGATTATGATCCTGTCCTGAATCAAGTAAAAACTGTTCACTGGCTCCAGTTCTCCCACTAAACGTTTTTGCATGTACCAGATGATGTAAAACAGCCTGGGTCTCACGCACCAGGGGGAGGCAGACATGCAGTGACACCTAGTGGTCATTAGTGGTTTCTTTTGGACTGGAAATGGTCTGTTATACATTTCTCTTTTTATCATATTTGTAGGTATACTTTGCTAGTACAAGCCTGAAGACGATTGAGCGAGTAGATCTGAACGACGGGGCAAGAGAAGTTCTGATCTCTGGTGGTTTGGACTCTCCAGAAGGTTTAGCAATTGACTGGATCCACCGCAGAATTTACTGGACGGACAAAGGGTGTGTGTGTGGTGTCTGTTATAGAGACTTGATCTGGAAAAGTCAGAATATATGAGCATTTTGTTGTCTGTTATTTTTTTTTATTTATTTTGTTATTATAATCAGGGGATGAATAGAAGAATTTCTGGTGTTTTATGATCATTTGGGGTGATTGTTGTTTCAAATGTGTTATTAATATTTAATGCGTGAGCCACATTTGTGTGAAAATCTACTTCTGCTCTCCAGCCAGTCAACCGTTGACAGCAGTAGTCTGTCTGGACTGCAAAAGGAAACCGTGGTAAGAGAAGGGCTACAGAAGCCAAGAGGAATCACACTTCATCCTCAAGCAAAGTGAGCAGAGATCTTTTTGTTCCACTGTCAAAAATTAAATTAGTACAATGTTGTACAACTTAAATCTCAAAATGGTTAAACACTCATGTAAATGAGCAGCACACGTTTGGCTACAAACCTCTAATGTGGCGTCAACAAAAACAAGAACTTTGTGTTTTTCATTCATTTGGAGAAACAATAGATATACAATACCTTCATTCAAAAATTCTCCTTAATGCACACTTCAGATAAAGGCATATATTATAATCATTCATTACACACAGACTGATGTATTTCAAATGTCGTCGTCATGGTCATCTTCCTCCGCTTATCTGGGTCTGGGTCGCGGGGGCAGCATCCCAACTAGGGAGCTCCAGACCGTCGTCTCCCCGGCCGCCGTCACCAGCTCCTCCGGCAGGACCCCAAGGCGTTCCCAGACCAGATTGTAGATGTAACCTCTCCAACGTGTCCTGGGTCGACCCGGGAGCCTCCTGCCAGCAGGACATGCCCGAAACACCTCCCCAGGGAGGCGTCCAGGAGGCATCCTGACCAGATGCCCAAACCACCTCAACTGACTCCTTTCGATCCGGAGGAGCAGCGGTTCTACTCCGAGTCCCTCCCGAATGTCCAAGCTCCTCACCCTATCTCTAAGGCTGAGCCCGGCCACCCTACGGAGGAAACTCATTTCGGCCGCTTGTATCCGCGATATCGTTCTTTCGGTCATTACCCAAAGCTCATGAGCATAGGTGAGGATTGGGACGTAGATCGACCGGTAAATCGAGAGCCAGGCTTTCTGGCTCAGCTCCCTCTTCACCACGACAGATCGGCTGAGCGTCCGCATCACTGCAGACGCCGAACCAATCAGTCTGCCATTTTTGATAACTATAACTGACAACTAATGAAAATCTCAAATTCAGTATCTCTGAAAATTAGAAGAATATGAATTAAAGAATAAAGACCAATGCAAAAAAAATATATATATATTTTAGAAATGCTGAACGTTTCTAACATGGGAAGTATAAACATGTACAGCACTGAGTCTTAAGTTGAGGCTCTGATGGCTTGAATTACAGCAGCAATGTGGCGTGGCATGGAGCCAATCTGTCTGTGGCACTGCTCTGGTGATGGGAGTCCATGGTGCTTGTGTGTGGCTTGACACAAGGAATGCGACAGCTGAAACCTGTCTTGCATACGTCTGTGTGTGGTGGTTCTTGAAGCACTGACTCCAGCTGCAGTCCACTCTGCGTGAATCTCCCCCACATTTTAGATTGGGTTTGTTTTCACAATCTTCTCCAGGGTGTTTTTATCTCTGTTGTTGTACACTTATTTCTACCACATCTTGTCCTTCCCTTCACCTCTCTATTAATGCGCTTGGACAGCCAGCCTCTTTAGCAATGATCTTTAGTGTCTTGCCCTCCTTGTGCAAGGTGTCAATGGTCGTCGTCAGTACAAGTGTCAGGTCAGCAGTCTTCCCCATGATTGTATAGCCTGCAGACTGTACTGTGGCTTTTGCAGGTGTTTTGAGTTGATTAGCTGAATAAAGTGTGGCACCAGGGATCTTCAACATTTAACTTTGTCACAATAGTCTGATACTCTCTGAATCTGGGATTTTTCATCAGTTGTCAGTTACAACCGTCAAAATTAAAGAAATAAATATTTGAAATATGTCAGTCTAAATGTAATGTTTGAATCTAAAATACAAGTTTCACTTTTTGAATGGAATTACTGAAATAAATCAGCGTGTCATGATTTTCTAAATATAAATACATTTTATAACCAGCACCTGTATTGTTACTTTGTAGTGAAAATTTAACATCCAAACATCTGATAATCTGATATTTACATTTTTACACAAATAATTCAGTGTTCCGGCTCAATCTCTGCTTCCCCTAAACTTAAAACAGTTTTTTTCTTCTTCTTCTTTCATTTATTTTGTTCTGTTTAAGTAAATTATTCTGGACAGATGTAGGAGCTCGGCCCGTAATAGAAGCTTCCACGCTGGGAGGGAGCAACCGTGCTGTGATTGCAAGCACAAACCTTGTGTCGCCCACCGGCCTGACCATTGATTTTACGGACAGTCGATTGTTCTGGTGTGACCAGAAGAGTGGTTTGGTAGAGACAGCTGCCTTTGATGGGTCGGATCGACGGGTCCTGTTAGAGAACCAAGTAGGTGAGGTTTGTGTGAAACATAAAAACTAGACAAATGAAATAGAGCAAAGAAAAGGGACAATGTTGTACTGTAATGGTTTTTTTAGGAAGTAAAACTTAGATTCTAACATGTTCAATTTAGAAAACTGCATCAATCATCTCAGAGTTTAAAGTCAGAATTCACTTCTTTTTGGTGTCCCTTACAAACTCCTTCATAAACTTCAACTGGTCTAGAACTCAGCAGCCCACATTATCACCAGAACCCCTTCCTTTCTCCGAATCACCCCGGTTCTCCAGCAGCTTTACTGGCTTCCAGTTAAAGTCAGGTCCATCCTCAAGATTCTCCTCCATGCCTTCAAGGCTATCCACAACCTCTCTCCTTCATATATTTCAGACCTTATAAGTATTGCCACCCTCTCCCAGTCCCTCAGATCATCTTCCTCCCTCCATCTTGCTGCTCCTTCTGCTCGTCTCACTACCATGGGGAGCAGCGCTTTCAGCCGTTCCGCTCCCCGTCTCTGGAACTCACTCCCCCCAGACATCAGAAATATTGGCAGTTTCACCCTCTTCAAATCCAGACTCAAGACACACCTGTTCAAATCTGCCTGTGACCTCTGATTTTTTCTTTGTTCTTTTCTTCATTGCGTTTTATCATTGTCAATGTATTTTACTCAATGCATTTTTCCTGCCAAGTGACCTTGGGTGTCCTGAAAGGCGCTTTTAAATAAAATGTATAATTATTATTATAGATGTTTATTTACTTTAAAATGAGTGCCGTTCTTTATAAACGTGTAACTCTTACTTCTTCTTGACAACTTTTCCAGCTCATCCTTTTGACCTTGCAGTATTTGAGGACAGGCTCTGGATCTCTGATTGGGAACACCAGCAGCTGAGGAGTGTACACAAGCTCACCGGGAAGAAATTGCAGCATATCCATGGAAACATGGTGCAGCCAGCATCCATAGTAGTGGTTCATCCACTTGTTAAACCAGGTACCAAAACACAAAGCCAACTATTATAATATACTAATAAAGGTATTTTTTAATCTAAACTAAAGTGTGGATTATTTGTAATCTCTAAACTGTCATATAAAGTCTCTAAATTCATGTTTACTGTCATTAAAGAACTGGTTCTAATATTGGAGTGGTATCCTCCCATGAGTAATCTGTAGATAAGAACAGTCCCTAAGTCAGTTAGAAGAAATGAGCTCATCCTGCTAACACTTCCTTCAGGATCAGATGTCTGTCTGCACCTGAACGGAGGCTGTGCTCAGGTGTGTGAGAATAAACTTGGCTCTGCACACTGCTCCTGTCTGCCACGTTACGTCCTGTCACCTGATGGGAAAAGTTGCTCACTTGCAGAGGTTTCCGAAGGAACTGCAGGTAACCTGATTCAGATACAAACGCCTTCATGAACGCAAATCTAAATTACGGCACATGCTCGTGTGTTTTTGTACAGAATCGGGACACAGTGGAACACGTGATGAGAACGTGCACCTGACAACACCTGGACTGGCAACCAATGAGGAGGGGACCGGTTTTAATGCTGATGGAGGCAGAGAGCCCGACCCCTTCACACACAGGATGGTTTCAGGTATCAGTGTAATATCAAGTACTATGATGTTCTCACCACTCAGTATCTTTTCATATCTCACAGTTTTTTTGTTTGTTTCTCTCGTTGGTCAGAGTTGTGCCACACACTCCACTGTGATGTGAATGCTCGTTGCCAAATAAATGCTGGCAAGCCTCTCTGTTTGTGTCTACACGGTTTTACCGGAGATGGACAGAACTGCCAGGGTGAGTGTAACCTTCAGTAAACTAGTGGATTTAAATTCAAAACAGAGGATGTTGTCACATTATTGAGGCCAAATAAAACATTTCCTTTTTTACGTTACCTGTGTGGATCTACCTGCATGTAAAATGCCTGAAAAAGACAACCAGTGATTCATTCATAAATTAAATCTAACATCTGTTGAGTTTCATTTTTGCTGCAAAATGTCACCCATTCTAGAGGAGAATTTCAGTATTTGTTTCATTTTTTGTTGTTTTTAAAGCTTAACCATAAATGTTTTTCAGTTTTTAAAAGGCATCCTCAATAAAACAAGCCAACATTTTTAAACTAAATGTTTAAATGAAGAAAGGCATCCCATAGTTTAAAGAAGTCCTTCATTGAAAAAAATAAATTACCTAAAAATTCTGATTATAATCGGTAATTCTAAGTTTGTTGTGCAGGCTGAACGTGAATTTTGCGTCCTACAGCTATTTCTTGCATTAACTTCTGATAGAATCAGTAGAAGTAGATTTCTGATAGATGGTGAAATTCTAGGATTTCTAAATCCTGACAGATCTACATCACACTGTCAGATAACATTCATGGACTCACCCATCTTGACTCACAAAGAGAAAGGCTGCTGCTGATTTAGCACCCAGGAAACAGCAGAGAACGTCCCGGCTAGTAGAAGCTAACTGTTAGCATTAGCAACTCCACCAAACATCAGCACTCCTCCAGGCTTGTGCTATTTGTGGAGATGTAAAATCAAACACAGTCAGTGAGAGTAGAGTCATGTTGCTGTTATCCAATCAGAGGTTAGATGTCCAACTATCAGAAAATAAGTCTTTAAATCCGGCCATCTGAAGCTACTTTCTCCTCCAGCTGACTCCTCTGTGCTGAAACAGGTGAACCAGAGCTTTTCCTCCCCAGAGAATGACTTACAAGGTATTCATTCCTACTATAGACCTCTGCAAATGTATTAAACATATGAGTGAAGGACCGCTTTAAACTGAACTGTAACCTGCACAAAATGTTATGATGAGCCTATTTTGTTTAGTAATTAGTTTTGATTACAACTGATGATTCCCAGTTGAGCAGCAGGGTTTGAACATCCACTTAAATGTTGGGAGGTTACCTAGCACGCCTGCTGAATGAATTGGAAGCTGGGAAGAAAAACAATGGAAAAACGGTACAAAAAGATCAAGACAAAAACTCAGTAAATCACTATGAGGGCTAAACAAATATTAAAAACATAAGAAAGCCTAAAAAACATTGAAACAAAAGTAAACACCAAAACCTTAACTAACACTGTGATATGATGAACAATAAAAGCATAAAAAGTCTCCATGTTGGAGCACGTTTACCGAACCCAAAAAGTAAAACCTGTTTGCAAATCTAAAATCTGATGTTGTGATTCCTGAAGAGGTAAAACATCCACGTGTTTTTGTTTTTATTTTCTCAGACATTGATGAGTGCCAACTTGGATTGCACAACTGTGACAAGCATGCAGAATGTCAGAACACTGAAGGGATGTTTCTCTGCAAGTGTCGGACTGGTTACTATGGCGATGGGCAGACATGTGAAGGTGAATCCTCATCATTTTCATTTTCTCGTACTAACAGAACCACGACGTTGTGAAGACATTTGTTATGCTTATTTGTTATCATCTCACCCATGACAGAAGGAGTGTTTCATCTTCCATTCTAGGTAAACGTTGTATAATGTAATAAAATTACCTTCAGGTTTGGAGACCACATCACCATGGGTGACCTCTCAAAGTCCTGTAGATGAAACCACCCGGCGCCACAACAGTGACTCTGTGGAGAGGTGTCCCTCCAGCCATGCGGCCTACTGTCTGTACCAGGGCATCTGCTTTTACTTCCCTGAAATGGAGTCCTTTGCCTGCAAGTAAATAAAGCCCTCATGTTTTCTTTCTGTTTGGCCTTCAAACTGCAGGTTATTTATTCAGTACTGGAACCCCCCAAGGCGCTTTACAGCTCAATCAGTCATTCACCCATTCACACACACATTCACACCCTGGTGGTGATGAGCTACATTGTAGCCACAGCTGCATACACAGGTGCCACCGGTTCACCAGCAGGTCAGGTTGCCCAAAGACACAGCAACAGACTGAGCGGGGCTCGAACCTGCAACCTTCTGATTACGGGGCGGGTACTTAGCTCCCGTGCCACCATCACCCTAAAAAGCAACAAGGAGAAACAAGAAATCCAAATACTGGAGTATCTACAGACTCTACTCCACTATGAACACCATTATCTCTGTGTGGTGGCATGTCTGCAAACCGTCACCAGATGTCGCTGTTGGTTCATGGTTCATGATGGCAGGCTGAAACAGAAACGTTTAGTTTTTGCAACATATTTAAAAAAACTGTTAAAGTTGAGTTTTAATAAACAAATGTTGTTCATTTTTCTCATTGGTTGTTTAAGAGTTAAACTATATATAATACAGGCTTTGTGCATATTGGAAAGATGATGCATTTGTGTAATTTTTAAAATGGTTTGTTAAAGTGATTTTAAAATTGTTATGATTTACTTTTAATTTGTTTTTGCAAAAATATGATTTTGATCAAAGTCAATGAGACATTTTAGGCCATGATTTTCAAACTGACTATTTAGCACTAAATATAAAATACTAAGACAAATACATTTTGTTTCTAATCCCTTCTTCTACCCCACTATTATTTATTGTATGGAAATTTAGAATATTTTGTTGAATACACAAATATTTTCAATGAAGCTATTTTTTATTTAAGCAGAATTTGTTGTACAAAATGTTTTACTTTTAGTTAAATTACAGATGGCAGGAGAGATGAGATTTGCGTATAAAAAGTAAATATAGTATGTCTCATGGTTTTGTCTAGATTTCCATGCTACATTAGGCCTGCTAGTCTGGGGTGGGGGTGGGATCCAAGGTGTTTCCAGGCCAGCTGAGGAATGGATCCTCCAGTCTGTCCTGGGTCTTCTCTGGATTGGCCAGCACACCTCAGCAGGAAGGCATCCAAGTCTATAAACATCACAAATTAATTGAAGTGACAATTAAGTTTTCCATTTCTACCCCTACTGGTTGAAAGCAGAATTACAGTGAAGGCCACCCTGGTTTTAGCTCTTTGCTTCACCTCCAGACATCACTCTCTTCCTTTCACTTTCAGAGAACTTCTTCTTCTTGCTCTTTTTAATGAATATTGTTGAACTTTAAAAAAAGCTAACTGCTATCATTTTAATGAGCTACTGACAGTAAAGTCCATCTTGGCCATTGCTCCACCTTCTGTGTGTGCCTAACCTAACCACCAAAGTAGTTTAGTGCAGTTTCTGGTCAGCAGAGGGCAGCAGAGTGCTGTTTGATGTGAATCTGCTTCACTTTCTAGTTCAAGAATCACTGAAACCAGTTTTGAAGCAGTAGCTTTAAGTGTTAAAACGCTTTGTTGCTTTAATAAGTGGGCCTTTTCATGGAACAAGCTGGAACGTTTTTAAATCCACCTTCCTATTTGTTTTTTTTTAATTTACTCATTTTTACTTCAAACTGTCCTGTATTTTATTTTCTCACTGTGACATGTATTATCACCTTACATACAGTCCTCTGAACTCATCTGATCAAAAGCAGATATTTTTTAAAGATTTCTAATTTATTTCAACATTTGCTTCAGCTAAACAATTTCCTCTGATCAGATTCAACCTTAAAACTTGATAATCTTTAGACATGCCCTTCTTTCCTTGCTGCAGCTGTGTGCCGGGCTACACGGGGGAGCGCTGTCAGTTCAGTGACCTGGAATGGTTGGAGCTTCAGCGGGCCGAAAAGGAGAAGAGAAGGAATATTTTCATTGCAGGCAACTTGGTGGTGCTCATTTTCCTACTCTCCATCATTGCCTGTGCCACCTACTGTTTCAGGTGAGAAGGAAGGCAAATTTAGCCAAATGTTATCAAACATTTTGTTAAAACTATAGGCTAACACATCTGAAAAAGGAACCATTTGATTGGATCCATGCAGAACTTCTTGTATCCAGAATTGATTGAAAAGGTAAATCTGAGAATTGTGAAAGGACATTAGGAGGATTTCCCTGACGTTTCCACCATAATGGCTAAAATCATCTGAGAAGGCCCATTTATTCTCAACATACTGGTGTTTGCAGTGCAGTAATGATGCAGAACACAAGCTGTCTTGAGTTCAGTTTCTGTGGGAGCAGCAGCGGCGAGGCCCTGCTCTTAGGACTGAGTGCACCGCGTTTAGAGGTGCCGATCAAACACAAGGTGGCAGGAGCCATGTAATGTGGGTCTCAGCCTGACAGCAGGAAGTCGGATCACATACAGAACTACTGACATGCAGCCCTGATTAGCCGAGTGAAGAGCATACCTAAACCACACGCTGTGACGCCTATGTTTGATTTCCACCTGTGATGTATTTAGGGAGCTTATTTGTTTTGCTGGCTTAGGGACAAGTCTTCTGGCAACCTCTGCTTTGTTTTTTGTTGTCTCATGAAACGCACCCTCCCCTCAGCCTACTGTGTCCCAGCACTCACACTCTTGGTTTCCTGGTGGAAGTGGCACGCTTTCAATTACATGGTTGGTTTGGCTTGTTCTACAGCAATTACACATAAAAATAGGTCATTTCTCAGCCACTAAATGAAGCTGGTGAGGTATGACCCCCATGGTAACGCTACATGGTTGCCAATAGCACCGCCATAAATTGCCTTCTGAACTTGACTGTGTTGTTTGTTGTGTTTGTTGCCTGCTGCCTACAAACAGGTGGAGGAAAGTTATAGTTACTGAGGAAATACACAACAATGTCAGCTACATCTGCTTTCATGTAATACAAATATGTTATGAAAGTTATAGAATGCCTTTATGAATAATAACAAAACATAGTACACAAGTTTAAATCTGACAACCAAGATGACTTCTAAGTCGTTTTTGGGTTCGTTTTGTTGTGTTTCTGTGTAAAAGTTACAAATAATGACTGAATAATTGAATGGAGATACAGTCAGGTCCATAAATATTGGGACATCGACACAATGCTAACATTTTTGGCTCTATACACCACCGCAATGGATATCAAATGAAATGAACAAGATCTGCTTTAACTGCAGACTGTCAGCTTTTATTTGAGGGTATTTACATCCAAATCAGGTGAATGGTGTAGGAATTAAACAGTTTGCATATGTGCCTCCCACTTGTTAAGGGACCAAAAGTAATGGGACAATTGGCTTGTCAGCTGTTCCATGGCCAGGTGCAGGCCCAGATTAATGCACAGGCTTGATATGGCTTAAGCCTAGGGGCCCACGTGTGTTCTAGAGGTGGGAAAAATGATCGATTCTAAGATGCATCGCGATTCAGCCGTGCATGATTCTGCATCGATGCAGCAACGTGACATAATGAGATTCTCTCCCTATGTCTATGTCGGGGGTTGGCAACCCGTGGCTCTGGAGCCGCATGCAGCTCTTCCATCCATCTGATGCGGCTCTCTGTGCTTGTAAAATAATGAATTGATGTTTAAATAAAATGCTTTATATTTTACTGCATTAATTTTACATCTGTATGCCAATTCTATGTAAAGATTTTCTGCGTAAACCTGAACAGTTCCAACCCGGTCTTACTGTGAGACCAGGTTGACGGGTCACACTTGTGCGTAATCATAGGCGCTTGCTGAGCTGAAGACGATGTGAGATTCTGGGCTTCTCCTCAGACAGGCTCCTGGATGTGTCGCCACATTGGAGACAGGAACAAGCACTATTCAGCCAAAGTTTCATAATCAGGGAACATTTTCTAAGTGACAAGTCTCTCTTCAGTCGGAGGAATCTTCCTGCATGCGCTCTGGTTCTGCGACGTGCTCCAAGTCCCTCTCCACATCTTCAGCTCGCTGTGCACCATATATACGCGCTGACAGTGAGAAGCACTGAGCTCCATGTCCAGCTCAGATGTTCAGATGGGAATCTTTTCTTGAGTGATTTAGCTACATCTGTGCGAAACGAATAAAATGTCAGTTCGTCTGCATGCGTCGGGGTAATTCTTTCTGTTCTTTCTCCGTCAAAATAAACGGTCAAATACGGGAACCATCCAGTCAACACAAGCCCTGTTTTTAACTGTTCTGTTTTCTTGTGAAAATTGTTACAAAGAGATCAAATTAAACTTGATTAACACCAGAGCCAGGCGCACTGCGCCATTATCTCCGTCACTGTAAATGAGGGAAAAACAGATTGATCAGATCCTTTTCTGACCTTCCCCACCTACAAAGTTTAATAACAACAATCAAACGTGACAGAGCCTGGATTTGTATTCTGAACAGTCTAAACATGTTTTAAAAAGAAACGTATGACAAAAGTGGCACCTGCTCAGTAAAACCACCAACAGGGTGAAAAATATCAAAATATTGTAGGCAGAGACGGGCTACAACTTCTGGATCCACTTTATATAAATCATTTTATTGATTATCTTCTCAAGACAGATAACTTTGACGTACACGAGCGACCGGTACTGGCTGCTGTCACCTGTTGTGATTGGTTAAAGCAGCTCTCTGCTGTCTGAGGGTAGGCCCCGCCCACAACGCCGCGGCTGCTGCGGTGTTTTCTTTACTGTGGGAAACGGGTAATAATGGCTCTTTGATGGGAACAGGTTGCCGACCCCTGGTCTATGTCTATGCGAGGACAATAAAACTTTGAGGTATTACTTCTGGGGGCAGAGTTGCAATGGCATGCGCTGCGTTGTCCTAGAAGCAATTGGACAGGGATACAGGGCCAACATTACCAGTAATCAAAGATGTACCCGTTACATTTAAATCGGATGTCTGGGCTAATTTCGGTTTTGGGATCCTTGATGTGAAAGAATCACTGAACACAGTATTTGTTTACTATTTTTAAGTTCAGTAATATTCTTTCTTAAAGCTATACCAAAACATTATTTCTTATATTATTTAAGTAATTATAGGCAGCACACTTTAAAAATTATTGCTCACTATAGTGAATAGATGAATGTTTGGTTTTTCAGGGATTTCGAAATCAAAAAGAAATTGAAAACTATTCTACTGCTTTTATTAAGTAATGAAAATTTTTGTGTGAAGAATCGTGATGCATGTCAGAGTCAAATCGAATCGTTAGGCAGATAATCGGAATCGGATCGAATCGTGAGGCAGGTAGAGATGCACACCACTAGTGTGTTCTGGGGCCCCCATTGGCCAGCTAAAAATATGTGATTTATTTAAATTTGCATGCAAGCATAGTCTTCAACTGTATTGGCCGACAAAATCATAAGCGAGACTGACTGGGTAAACATTGTAGCGGTCTTGAGTTAAGTAACGTGTCACGTGACACGTCATATTCATGTATCATAGGCTGCTGCACTTAACGAGGGAAAATGAAAAAAATGTCAGACAGAAAATATGATAGTGGCGCTCAGAAAAGAAAAATGGAGAGAATCAAAGAACAAAAGCACAAAAATCTTCAGCAGAAAATCCCAAAATTGTCAGGATATTTTAAACCTGCTTCTGGACCCAACAGCAGGTTATAGAAAAGGAAGACGTTCACATGAAGGCGACGGAGCAATGCTAGCTGGAGCGGCAGAGGTTCATGCTGTTAGCTCAAAGGAGGGAACGAGCAGTCACAGAGAAGCTGATATTGTCCACTTGGGGGCAGAGGCAGATCTGCTTCAAGTAGTTTCTGATGGGAACCTGGCAGAAGGTCCTAGCCAGGTGACGCTGATGGTGGATGCTAACTTAAACCCGGATCCTGGCTGCTGGGGTGAAATCGATGAAAATGCCAGAAAATATTGGTAAATCATGGTTAGGGTTAGGATATTTCACAAATACCCTATGATTAATTAGATTAACATTTTTATAAATATCTGCAGATAAGAATATAGGATGAATATTTCGCTTCGATCAAGCATTTTTGGTTCCGAACAAGTGTAGCCTATGGGCCCCTGTACACCTTAATCCTCCCCTGGCCAGGTGTGTGTTATTCCCTCATTATCCCAATTACAATGAACAGATAAAAGGTCCAGATTTCATTTCAGGTGTACTATTTGCATTTGGAATCTGTTGCTGTCAACTGTCAAGATGAGATCCAAAGAGCTGTCACTATCAGTGAAGCAAGCCATCATTAGGCTGAAAAAACAAAAGAAACCTATCAGAGAGATAGCGAAAACATTAGGCGTGGCCAAAACAACAGTTTGGAACATTCTCAAAAAGAAGGAACGCACCGGTGAGCTCAGCAACACCAAAAGACCTGGAAAACCATGGAAAACAATTGTGGTGAATGACCGAAGAATCCTTTCCCTGGTGAGGAGAACACCCTTCACAACAGTTGGCCAGACCAAGAACACGCTCCAGGAGGTAGGTGTATCTGTGTCAAAGTCAACAATCAAGAGAAGACTCCACCAGTGTGAATACAGAGGGTTCACCACAAGATGTAAACCATTGGTGAGCCCCCAAAACAGGAAGGCCAGATTAGAGTTTGCCAAACAACATCTAAAAAAGCCTTCACAGTTCTGGAACAACATCCTACGGACAGATGAGACCAAGATCAACTAGTACCAGAGTGATGGGAGGAGAAGAAAATGCATACCACCTCATCAGTGAAGCATGGTGCTGGAAGTGTCATGGCGTGGGCATGTATGGCTGCCAGTGGAACTGGTTCTCTTGTATTTATTGATGATGTGACTGCTGACAAAAGCAGCACGATGAATTCTGAAGTGTTTCGGCAATATTATCTGCTCATATTCAGCAAAATGCCTCAGAACTCATTGGACGGCGCTTCACAGTGCAGATGGACAATGACCCAAAGCATACTGCAAAAGCAACCAAAGAGTTTTTGAAGGTAAAGAAGTGGACTGTTTTGCAATGGCCAAGTCAATCACCTGACCTGAATCCGACTGAGCATGCATTTCTCTTGCTGAAGACAAAACTGAAGGGAAAATGCCCCAGGAACAAGCAGGAACTGAAGACTGTTGCAGTAGAGGCCTGGCAGAGCATCACCAGCGATGAAACCCAACGTCTGGTGATGTGTTCCAGACTTCAGGCTGTAATTGACTGCAAAGGATTTGCAACCAAGTATTGAAATGTATAAGTTTGATTTATGGTTCTTATTCTGTCCCATTACTTTTGGTCCCTTAACAAGAGGGAGGCACATCTGCCAACTGTAGTAATTCCTACACCGTTCACCTGATTTGGATGTAAATACCCTCAAATAAAAGCTGACAGTCTGCAGTTAAAGCACATCTTGTTCATTTCATTTGGTATCCATTGTGGTGGTGTATAGAGCCAAAAATGATAGCACTTTTGTGTCGATGTCCTAATATTTATGGACCTGACTGTAGCTCCTGAACAGCTTCAGGTTGGAGAAATAGAGATTATGACTTTCAGGACTGACAAGCTAATGGCTAGTCTGAGTTCAGCCAAGTCCAAATATGATAAGCTGTTTTCTTAAACAATCTTCAGTCTTCAACATTTCATAGCAGTGTGCTACATGTCTTGTATGAACCTCTACAACAATGTCGCATTTCCATTGCATGGTTATTTTCTTACTTGTAATTTTTTTTATGCTTGAAATAAAAAGAGCAGCAGTTAAGTGCAAAGTTTCTGAGGCATGATCCAGCAGGAATTTCTTACATTTTCATCTGAAATAACCTGACAATACAACTTTATGATGATCCAAACGTTTAACTTGAAATTGTTTAAAGATAACAGTAATCCACTTTGGAATTGTACCAAATCAGATTGCACTGACTAGCTAAAGAGTGAATTGTCTGGACTGTTCTGTCTTAAAATGGGTTTCTGACCTGCTAAACAACCCCAAACTCTCAAATATTAAGGCACTTTCAGTATTCATTTGAATAAAACTCTGTACTGCCATCACTTTTGCATTAGTGTGTCAGACACAATATCTAAGATTTCTGCCAGACCTGAGTCTTAGATGCACAAATACTAAATGATTTGTTTGAACTTAAAACAACCCCCTTAATATCTATGTAAGGTTTAAAAGGGGTACTTTCACGTGTGTGTGTGTGTGTGTGTGTGTGTGTGTGTGTGTGTGTGTGTGTGTGTGTGTGTGTGTGTGTGTGTGTGTCTTTCACAGAACCAGAACATGCATACATAAGCAGTCCCCCGTGGACAACATCAGTGAGACTAGTGTGGCAGAGGCCAGCATGTTGGAGACCACCACTACTAGTATTCCTCAGGTGAGAATAATTTAATCCAGCTTTATAATATGCAATCTGAGGATCATATCACACTCATATCCCACTCTCTCATTGTCTGATGCATAGCATGGGCAGCAAGTTAATGTTGATGTGCAAATATTTAACATAAAATTAGACCAACTTTACTGAGAAACCTTTTTTTTTTTACTTGTTATTTTGGAAATAGGATCAATCTCTGAGTTTAACGTGAAGGCTGAATTTCAACATGGCCATCAGAGAGCTGCCAACACTCACGCATTGAACATGAGGCACACGCATTTGACCCTCTTCACATGCACTCACTCCACACCTCCAACATCTCACACTGAAGAATCAACAACCAACCCCCACTCCTGCTATCACGCTTTCAAAATTTCAAAAGTTGGCAGTCTTCTACCCCTCTTTCCTGCTATAGCTTCCGATGGAAAAAAGTCACGCAGCTCTATGTCACGCTGTAGATGATCATTCATGGACTCACACATCTTGGCTCATGACCTGGGAAGGCTTTGGTTGCTTTAACATCCAGGAGAGAGCAGACTACGACTCGACCAGTAGAAGCTAACTGTTAGCATAAGCAACTCTACAACATGGCAGCATTCCTTCAGGCATGTGTTATTTGTGGAGGCAGTCGAAGAGTGGTGTTGATGTTTGCCAATCTGGGGCGATGTCCAAATACCAGGACATAAAGAGTCCAAATATTCTTGCTGTTTTCTGCTCCCTCACCTTCAACCTACCTCCTCCTGAAAACAGGAGCGCCAGAGCTTTTTTTTCCCACAGAGAACAACTCACAAGGAATTTATTTATGGTAGACACTGCAGATTTATTGAAAAAAAAAAACTATTGAATGTGAGCTTTAAAAATTACTGGGTTGTTGTTGGCATCAACAGTACTGCACCATGTCAGAAACCAAGATGGAAGGAAAGACCATTCCGGTGCTGGGATGTCCAAGGAGAGCTGCCTGTCCATCCTGCTCTTCAGAAACAAGTGCCATACTTCTTTTATCTGTTCTATATGACATGAAACATTTCAGCCTACTTCCTAACCATTTGTATAATTTCTGATATTATTTGATTGTCAGGCACCAGCCCTTCATCTGAAGACCCAGGAACGTTGTCCAAACACAACAGAGGGTACGAGTGCTCTATGGTGTCAGCGGTTGCCACGGAAACCATACAAATTGATTCCAGTCACTCAAATCCTTCACTGTCAAGCATCAATACAGGGAATTTTTCATCGTTGGAGCCAGCAACACTCCCCCAAACTTCTGATCCTGAAGCATCAGTGTCCTAGCTCCTAGAACAAAAGTAAAACAGCTGTACATTCTTTTGTACCGTGCCGTAAATGTAACATCAGGATTTTGTTTGATTTTATTGATGAAGACATAATACGAAAACTGCTGAGATAGGAATTAGTTATTTCATGTGAAAATCCTTTGAGTACGGGTATAAAGATTGTGCAAAAATGTGTTTTATCTGATTGGTTTTTGTCCATCCATCCATCCATCCATCCATCCATCCACCCACCTATCCGTCCATCCCTCCGTCTATCTGTCCATCCATCCATCCATTTTCCTCCGCTTGTCCGGGGACAGGTTGCAGGGGCAGCAGCCTAGGCAGGGAGGCCCAGACTTCCCTCTTCCCAGCCACTTGGGCCAGCTCCTCTGAGGAATCCCAAGGTGTTCCCTGACCAGATGAGAGACATAAACGTCCTGTCCATTAAAGTTATGAAGCTTTTGTTTTTGTTGTATAGCCCAAGCAGTTTTGCTGAAAAGAGGTATGTACATAAAATGCTTCATCATGATCAGAGTTTAGATGGTTATTCTGGTTAGACTCATCTGAAAGAGAAAAGGACTTTTTCTAGCAAAAATAGAAAAGGTGTTTATAAAGAAATTGAAAATGTAGAGGTAAATGTAAAATCTTGTTTCTCACCTTGCATCGTGCTCCACACTGACCAGGTATAGCTGAAATACGAAGTGATTTTGCTTTTATCTTCATCAGTCTCTTCAGCGTTAATGACGAATATGAAAAAACATTACTTTGGCCAAGTTTATATTTGCTCTTTGGAATCGCGTGCTCTTTCTAAAATGTCTATTTCTGATGACATCATTAAAAGATCATTTTGTCCCTTTCTACACCGTCTCTGTTTCGTTGCACTCCATCACATTCTTCTACCGCAAAGCTTGTGTTCGTGCCCCATTGATGAGGCTTTCTACCCTCCACCAAATCTAACGCTTGAGTACCAACGCTGCCACCCTTCACCACCTCTCCATCTTTATATCTTTGCCTCCACTCTCCAGTTCTGTCTCAAGGTTGACTGGGAATTGTTAATAGAAGGCGCCAGGCTCTTTGTTTCGGGGCAGGGGCAGAAAACAAAGCACTTCAACTCAAAAACCATCAGAGGCCACATTGATATTGATTCTTGTGGCAAGACACACTTATCTATATATTGGGCTCCATTAAGGCTAACAGATAGGTTAGGCTACCAATCTAAACAGAAGCACATCAGCCTGCACGTCAAGATGAAATCGGGCCTCGTGTCAATTTATCGTGTATTACTGCTCAATTGGGGCAACGGGGCAACAGAGTCACAGGCAGTGTAAGTAACAGGGGCATCCCTTTTATAGCTTTTACTGCTTAGAGTTGTAATAAATACATGCTTCCAACAAGATATTCCATGCATTTCTTTGTTAGTTAATGCAATTTCTTAAGGTGTTGATAAAAGGAAAACCAGAAGATCTTCTTTTTCTGCAGAGTGTCTTTCTTTAAGAATGATATTTAGTTTGCATTGTCTTGCAAAATGTAGCAGCATAAAGTATAAGAAAAATAAAGTAAAAAGCCTGAAAGCTTACATAAGAGACAACACTGTGTAGAACAGGTTTTGTTTCAAAATTACAAACAGCTATTTTTATATTTGGCTGACTGCTGCATGTGTGGGGGTTTACGTCATTAAGTCTATAGTGTGCCTGTTTATCCTTATTTATTTATTGTTATTATAGTTCTCACTGCAGTAAACAGCTAACAGCCGTAATGCAGGTAAGTGTGGTTTCTGGTCAGCAGAGGGCCGTGCAATCTGAAGTTGGGACAGTTTCTACCTCAACAATAATAACTTTGAAGGGAAAAAAAAACGTATAGTTAAATAATAAAATGTTGTTGTTATCATATTGTTCTCACCCATTTTATCTCCTAATTTTGAATATTTTTGCCAGATGGGTGCAGTTTGAACTTGTCGCTCACTCTTGCAGCCTCGCCCAGAGGACAGCTGATGAGGGCTAAAGGAGGAATTAGCTACCCACTCAAAGGCTTTGCTCTGATCCTTTAGGTCAGTATTTGGTCCCTCCAGCTCTTGAGCAGGACACAGTTACACTGATTTATGAGGGTTGGAGCAGATTTGAAAATGAAAGGGGGCAGGGGTCTAGCGCATGTTTTGGACAAGGACATTTGAGCTAAAATCTATGGGAGCAATGGAAAGAGAAGTAAGTCCCAAATCTGGAGAAGTTAATGATTGCACTTTAATGATCAACAGTCTGAAATACATATTTTCTTATGTGACAGCAAATTTAAACCTCATTGATATGAATAGAAATTTGCAATATTTTAAAATTAAACAAACTCATGATGGTGGATGATTGACTTGAATATCCCACAAACTTGGTTCTGAACAGATGGTGAAATCCTCCAGGCTGACTGATCGAGGAAACTGAACTCCTGCAAGAAAATCAGCTTCTGGATTATCTGCTATTTTGTTTAGGACAACTAAAGAGTTTAACACACCTCCTGCCAGTCTGAACACATTTCAGAACTCCCTTATTTATATGAGACCAAAAATGTGCTTTTTAGTTGCCTACATTATCAAAAGACGAAACTTATTATTTGGTAGATGTTTTGTGGTATAAGATATTTAACAATTCCATTTTTAAATGTTTTGTAGATTTGATTTTGTAAGCAAATACAACTTTATTTCTAAAGTAACTTTGGGACAATAATTGCTCAGGAGTCAAAGCGGGTTGTCCAGTAATTGGAAGGTTGCAAGTTTTTTCCTGGCTCAGACCAGAGAATGCTGCTGTTGTGTCCTTGGGCAAGACTTTTAACCCACCTTGCCTGCTGATGGTGGTCACAGGGACCAGTGGCGCCGGTGTTCAGCAGCCTCACCTCTGTCAGTGAGCCCCATGAAGGGCAGCTGGCTACACCATAGCTCATCCTCACCAGCATGTTGTAACGGGGTGACTAGAGCGGGGCGAGAGTTTGGATGTGGCGTGGCTTTTAACCCAAGCGCGGAGTGACTGACGCCGGGTTGAATGGACACGCTGTTTAATCTGGGAGCCGGGTGCGCAGCTGTATGATGACACAGCTGAACACGGCGACTCCTGGTCTGAAGCTGATCTGTACGAGCAGGCAGGATTCTGAGATCTGGCTGGTCTGATCTGGTTGGTCTGATCTGAACAGGCTTCGTGATCTGAGCTGATCTGGTTAAGACTCTAGGTTAAGTTCGGTGAGAACGATGACTGAGTGAGCCGGCGTTGTGCGGCACTTCCATATAGGTTTGGCGGGTGACGTGAAACGGAAGACTGGCGCTAGGGATGTTGGGTAATGGAGTCTGAGCAGCTCTGCGGTGCCTCCCTAGAGGAGGTTGACGGCTGAGAGGGAGGTTGTGTGACAGGACCCCCCACCCGAGGGACGGCCCCAGAAGTCCCAGAGCGGCGAGCCCAGAAGTACGTTATGAGAGAGGGGTCCAAGATGACCCTCGACGGTTCCCATGAGCGCTCCTCCGGTCCGTAATCCGCCCAGTCCACCAGGTATTGCCATCCCCTGCCACGGCGACGAGCATCCAGCAGGCGGCGCACAGCATAAACACCATCGCCGCACACCCCACGAGGCGGTGAAGCGGGCACAGGGGGGGGGGGAGCGAGAGGAGAGGTCCTAACCGGTCTCAGCTGGGAAACGTGGAAGACGGGGTGAACCTTGAGAGACCTGGGCAGGCGGATGCGGTAAGCCACGGGGTTAATGACCCTTTCCACGGGGTAAGGACCCAGAAACCGTGGGCTGAGTTTCTTGGAGCCGGCGGGCAGACGCATGTTACGAGTAGACACCCACACGTTATCGCCCGGCTGAAAGGTCGGACCAGGCCGGTGGCGGCGCTTATGCTGGCGTGAGTACTCCGTGTTAGCTCGTGTGATGGCAGCCCGAGCACGGATCCAAGCGAGACGGCAATGTCGAACTAGGAGCTGGGCCGCAGGAACCTCCGTCTCCGGTTCCTGGTGAGGGAACAGAGGGGGCTGGTAACCATTACACAGCTCGAACGGGGAAAGACCAGTAGCCGAGGAGACGTGGAGGTTATGGGACATCTCCGCCCACAAGAGATGCTTTGGCCAGCAGCGCAGGTACCGCCCGAGCTGCTGATTGGCGCGTTCAGTCTGTCCATTGGTCTGGGGATGGTAGCCAGACGAGAGGCTGCTACTGGCACCAACCAGCCGGCATAAGGCTTTCCAGAACCTGGACATGAATTGGGGCCCTCTATCCGAGACAATGTCCTGAGGGAACCCATGGAGACGGACCACCTGCTCCAGAAGGACTTCGGCCGTCTGCTTAGCGGTGGGCAGGCCGGAAAGAGCCACCAGGTGGACCGCCTTGGAAAACCTGTCCACGATGGTCAGGACGGTGTCGAGCTGGTTGACGGGAGGCAACCCCGTGACGAAGTCCAGGCCTATGTGGGACCAGGGTCTGTGGGGAACAGGAAGAGGGTGGAGGTCGCCAGCCGGGGGTTGGTTCGGAGTCTTGGAACGGGCGCAGGTGGAACATGCAGCCACGTATTCATGGACATCCTTAGCCATGGAGGGCCACCACAGGGCCCGACGTAGGAACTGGAGGGTGCGGGTCTCCCCCTGGTGGCCAGCCAAACGGGAAGCATGTCCCCATGCTAGGGCCTCAGACCGGCAGGTGGATGGCACATACAGTCGGTTGGAGGGTGTGTCAGCCGGTGCGGGCTCGGTGGGTAGAGCAGCTCGGATGGCGTCCTCCACTGGCCAGTGAAGGGCTGCAACGAACCTCTGGGCAGGTAAAATAGGCGGTGGTTCCTTGACGGGTGCAGATTGGGCGTGATGGCGGGAAAGGGCGTCCACCTTCAGATTCTTAGAACCAGGGCGATAGGCCAGATGAAAGTGGTAGGATTCGAAAAACAGAGCCCACCGGGCTTGACGGGGGTTGAGTTGGCGAGCATTCTGGATATGAATTAGGTTTTGGTGGTCTGTCCATATGGTAAACGGGTCCTGGGCACCCAATAGCCACTGCCTCCACTCCTCCTGCGCCCATTTAATAGCCAGGAGCTCCCTGTCCCCCACCCCGTAATTCCTCTGGGTTGGTGTGAATTTCCTGGAGAAATAGGCACAGGGGTGGAGTTTGGAGTCTGGACCGCGTTGAGATAGGACCGCCCCTGCACCCGCCTCGGACGCATCCACTTCCACGATGAATGGCTTTGTTGTGTCCGGATGAACGAGGAGGGGAGCGGTCGTGAATCGGAGCACCAGGGTGTGGAATGCCTGTGTGGCCTCAGGAGTGAAACGGAAAGGGTGAGTCTGGTTGGATGACTTGGTTAAGGCAGTGAGGGGCGCAGCGATGGAACTGAAACCGCGAATAAAGCGGCGGTAGAAGTTCGCGAATCCGAGGAAGCTCTGGAGCTGTTTTAGGGAAGTGGGTTGTGGCCATTGGGTGACAGCCTGGACCTTCTGGGGGTCCATTGAAAATCCTCTTGACGACACGACGAAACCCAGGAAGGAGATGGTCTCCTGATGGAAGGCACATTTCTCCAGTTTACAGTAGAGACCGTTCTCCAGCAGCCGGGAAAGAACGGCTCGCACGTGTGTGATGTGTTCGTTCAGGGTTCGGGAGTAGATCAGGATGTCGTCGAGGTAAACAAACACCCACCGGCCCAGCATGTCCCTCAGGACGTCAGTGATTAGCCGTTGGAAAACCGCAGGACTGTTACACAAGCCAAAGGGCATGACCGGGTACTCTCAGTGGCCTGTCGGGGTGATGAAAGCGGTTTTCCACTCCTCGCCTTGTTTTATCCTGACCAAGTTGTAGGTGCTGCGCAGGTCCAACTTGGTGAATATGGCGGATTGGGACACTACATCCAGGG